ATTTGGCACTTTTCGACCTCAGCTCGGCCTTCGAGGAGTCTTTGGAACCACCTTCAATTCTCAAAACCAGCCCAGTCTGTGTTGTATCTTTTTCTTTTTGAACTTTCTTGTTGAACGTTCGAATCTTACGATGACGATGATGATAATGATGATGATGATGACGACGACGACGACGACGATGATGATGATGATGATAGTGATGATGATGATAGTGATGATGTTGTTTGTTTTGCATGTAGTTGCAGTATTTGTTGTCCCTGGCAGTCAAAGACCACCACGCAAATTGCTAAGTTCATGATACACACAACGAGGGGCAACGGACACTTCCCTCTCAGATTCTCCTCAATCTTTTATCGCGAGGTAGAAAGCCTGAAGGGCACCGTGCTCCTTGGCGTTTTGGTTGCCTTCTTGGGGAAATCAATAGGGTTTATATGGCGTATTATGGCGTTTAAATTGGCAAGCATGGACTCTGTGGAGCTTAGTCAACCTACTGTGGGTTAATGTTGTTAATTACTTGGTACGTATGACGAGCCAAAAAAAACATCCCTGCCAATCCCTGCCAATCCCTGCCATTTCGTCATATTTCGCCAATGGCAACCACTGAGGGAAGTCTTGCACGCTGCAGCACGCTTGCGCGGGACAATCTCCAACTATGCCATGAGTTGCTGGTAAGAAGGGTGTCATGTTAGACAGGGTAAGAAAGGGTCCCCCAAGGAATTTCTTACTTTTTGTGCCCGCCAAAGGTGAGCTTTGTAGAGGGATGTAACGCGTGCTTTGTTGACAAGATCGTGCAAAAAAAATCATTCAAAGTGAAATACCTTTACTGTTTGGTAGCTTCAAAGACTTGGATGGTTATCCATACCTGGGATGATCCCAAATAGAATAAACAATAACTCTACATTTTGCTTGCACTGAGTCATTGCGCACGTGGTGACATGGTGACTCAAATGTCAACATGTTATTCTACGTGGAGACATGTTCTGTTCCACCGCATTTCTACGTTTTGGCAATGAGAAGTGCGCGTCATGAGTCATAAGGCTTTTGAATCCATGCAATGTCGTTGGCTTCATATCCCCTGTATGTAAGCACACTCTTCGTCGTGGGATTTCTTCAGTGTACTATATCCGCTATGGCAGTAGTCTGTAAATACGAAATATAGAATGCATGACATACGTATACATACAATATTACACACAATAAACATACAATACACATATGATGTACATACAAAATACGTACAATAATATATACACAATATACATTATTCACAACTGATGGTGTAGCGACATCTATCCTGGTGGGCGAGGCTTGGTGGGTTTGGAGCAACCAGCAGCAGCTCCTGCCGCGTTGGCCACGCTTTTCACTCGCAACAAGTCCGCTGTGGCTTGGCCGGGACTGGCTGGCCAGTTCGTTGATGTTTGATGATGGGAGATCGCCTCAAGAACATATACATATATATATAATATTACAGTGTGTATATATAGGCTGAGCCTATATATACACATATTATACAATATATATATATATGATATACATATTATGTATATATATATATGATATACATATATGATATATATATATATACACAGTGCATGTATTCATATCCCGTGATATTTTTTTTATATTTGAGCAGCAACGGCAGGATGATTTGACCCGAGGCCATCTTTGCCGCGAAGGTGCTCCGTCGACTGGGCGGCGACCAAGAGCTTTGCCGTGTTGCCTGGAACAAACGAGGCGGAGAAAGCCTCCCTGTTTTTGGGGATATGAATGGGAAATCTATGGGGGAATATACAGTAATCAATATAATACAAATGGGGAAATCATCTATAAATGGGAAATCCCCTGAAAATAGGCAAACAAAAATCTAAAAGATGGGGGAATTATATGGAAGTCATGGGGATATACTGCGATTACAGTATCTCATGCCTATATGTGGGGCATTTCCATGTATGGAATCTCCATATCCCCATTCCCCATAGAACCCTCATATACTCCCGCGCGATTGTACAGGCGCCTTGCCTTGGTTTCCCTTGGACCCTTCGCGGCTGCCAATCCTCGCCAACGATCTTCCGGATCCTTTCGCGCCTTGGACAATTAGGTGTAGCTATGTGTGGCTCACATTTTGACCATTTTGACCCCCAAATTTCATGTTTCAAGACTGAAAGTGAGAAGTCAATTGTGGGTCCCTGTTTTGCTCTCCGATGGTTGCTAGCGATTCAACAGGTCCGTCGTTTTGAGCACCAGTTGGTGGAATTTAAGAAATTTGCTGGCCAAGACGAGTTTAGATGGATGTACCCTCTGGTAAACTAACAGTCTGCTATGGAAAATCACCATTTTAAGAAGTAATTCATCTATTTCTATGGGCCATCCATAGCTATGTTAGTGAACTGGAGGGTACCAACTATTATCAGCTAGAGACTCATGGCATTTCGATGGGATCCAGGTGGCCCTGGAGATGTCGGGAAATCATCCCCAAAGACCTATTTCAGGTTGGTGAATTAGTGAAATTTCGCCAGATCAATAGCTTTAATGATAGTTATTACCTGTAATGTAATGATACCATATGATAGTTATTACCATGGTTATACCCCTGATTCATAATTGTGATAGTATATCTATAGATATACTTTTTTTTTTAAAACAAGGGCTATAATAACCACTGATATGCTTAGATCACTTATATATACCCCATGAATAGCTTTAAACATCTCTCTCCGAGGTAAGATTGATCCCAAGCGATAGGTCTTTGGAAAGGCGCCCTGGGCGCCCTGGGGCCCTGGGGCCCTGGGCCTTTGTGGATCGATCAGGATGTGAAGAGCATTAAATGATGTGATTTTTATCCACAGACATGGGAATCAATGATGATTATATGTGTATTATATATATATATGTCTTTGACCAATTTAGACAATCCAATGAAATAGGGATATTCATATCAGAATTATATTCAACATCACCTGAGCCAGGTGGATGCCCACTGAGCTAGATGGGCTGGATCAGGCCCCCCTGATCCCAGATATAAATGGCCGTTGGAAGGGTTGGATCTGAAGGGCCCAGACTTCTTTGATCTTTAAGTGTTGTGCTTGACTGGAAAGGAATTGCGATTGAGGGTCTCCCACTTTACGCTGGGATGGGAGGTTCGATAGATGCTTTCGCAGCTAGAATCTAAGCGGCAAAGCTTGTCCTGCCTCATGGCGGTTCAACGCTGGTGCTCTCCCAAACCTTGCAATTTGCAAGAGCAAGGCATCGCCAATGAAAGGGCAACCTTATCCTGTACTTACATGTCCGCAAACTTACGTGCTGCATGGTGGTGCTTCGTCATCATGTAGATTGTAAGTCTGCTGTTAACCAGAGCTTGAAGTACGTGACCTTGCCAAACAAGTTGCAACACGTGACATTTGGTGAAGACTTCACTTGGAGCCTGGAAAAGGTTTCTTTGCCCCGCCCGGAAACTCTGAAAACCTTGGCTTTTGGCCATATGTTTAATCAGAGGTTGGAGCGAGTAATATTGCCGAACAGTCTTAAAAGCCTGGGTTTCGGTGTTCTGTTCAACCGGAGCATGGACGGGGTGACCGGCCTAAAGACATTGGCTTTTGGCGAGTTATTCAACCAGAGCTTGGAGCGTTTTTTTTTGACCAAGCCATCTTGAAAGTTTGATACTTGGTGATGACTTTAATCAGATCTTGGAGCAAGTGGTCTTGCCTCAGAAACTTGACTTTTGGCGCCTGGTTTCGGCAGGGTTTGGAGAGTGTGAGATTGCCCACTGGCCTTCAAAGCCTGACATCCAATGGGTGATATGAACAGGGGCTGCAACCTATGATCTTGCCAAGCGCTTGACCCTTGGTGAATTGGTTTTCCGGAGCTCGGAGCTTATGAAGTTGCCAACAACTCTGCAAAGCTTGACTCTGGTATTTCCCAGCATGACGTTGGGTCGCCAACGATGTAACGATCAGAAGTTCCGACTGTCGCCAGTTGCTAATGTATGTATATGTTTATCTTGTGAGTCAAAAGGTTTCGCTGTCGCCCTTTGAACATGCTTTCATTCAGAGTGAAGTCACTACACCATGCTCTGTGGCGCAGCGGGTTGGAACTGGGAGTGATGCGACTGTTTAAGTCAATCAACGACATGATGGACAACAACATGGACGGTTGCGAGATTAGTTGTTTTGATGTCATATATATATATATATAAACAATCAATCATATAATACAAGGTTGACACATACACACACACACATCTTGTCTCATCTTGTCTCTACAATAGCCTGCCAGAGATTTACACCTGTTCAAAATGTCGTGCTTCCAGCTGTTTTCACTGGGAGATCCAGCCAGGTATATGGCAATTTGCAGCGCCTGCGGGCTGTGCGCAAGCTCGCCTCAAAACCTGGATGCTTTCAAGAAGGCCATGCCAGCGGACGGTAGGGCTAGTAGGGTCAGAAAAGCTGAGCATTCACATACACTGATATCATATATAAATATAAATATAAATATATAATTATACAATATATAATATGTATGTATATATATATTATTATATACATATATTCAATCCGAGTGATAAGGGACTGACGACGTAGTTCGTCATGTCCTTCAGAGACGAAGCCCTCTTTGGATCCACATCCCATGTCCTCGCGGTGCCAACAATTTTTGCACTTCATCCTAACCATTCATCCACAAAAGGTAAACCATGGTAAACCTTGGTGACTGGTGAATGGCTTTATCAGGCAGCTGTTTCAAATACTGGTACTTGTTCTTTCAAAGCATATTCGGGATGATCGTTCCCAATCACTATCTCATATCCTTTCGGCTGGTTTGAAACGGTTTGACACCACCAACCACTTCTTGCCGAAGTTGACCAAGTGACCCTTTCAGCCCAGGCCGTGGATATTGAGTGCAAAAACATCAACCGCCGCAGTGCTGTGGTTTTGAGCTGCATTGCCTCCAGAGTACTGTTGAACCGACAGGCGCCTCGGGGTTCGAGTTGGCATCTCATGAAGCGCAGCATGGCCGGTATGTCTGGGCACATTCAAAACTTAAAGGACATTGAATAACTGAGTGTATCATAGTGTATCCAGAAAACCCTAGTAACATTTAATAACTGAGTATTCATATCGCATTTTTTTGGCTAACTGCGGCTAACTCCTGGACTGCCGATCCAACATTTTCGGAGGCATGTCGCATGATGTCGCCAGGATGATCCCAAGTCACTGGCATAACTTTGGGGGTTAAAACATGTTGAACACCACCAGGTGGAACTTCAAAGTTGGGAGATCATTCCAATTATATTCCTAATGTGTTTTTCCCCAATATATATATTTAAGGGCTGCCGCCCCTGCCGCCGACCCCGGTAAAGAATCGGGGATTGCTGGTGAAACAGGCAAGCTGTGTGACGAGAAACTTTGGCAAATGCATTATCACAAGCAAGAAACCAGCAGCCAGACACCTTTTGTAAAACACAACCGAAACAGCAAAACACCACCTAATTTCGTGCCGAACATAACGCAAAATCAATCACAATAATAGGTTTTCGGGGGCCGAAACGTCCCTTCTGAAATCCTACTAGAAATCCAATTTTGTCCAATAGAAATCTAATTTTAGTCAAATTTGATTGATCGCTAATTTTGATTGCTGCTGCTACCTCTAATAAAGCAAGAAACCAGCAGCCAGACACCTTTTTTAAAACACAGCCGAAACAGCAAAACACCACCCAATTTCGTGCCGAACATGACGGAAAATCAATCACAATATTAGGTTTTCGGGGGCCGAAACGTCCCTTCTGAACTCCTACTAGAAATCCAATCCAATTTTGATCTCTAATTTTGACTGCTGCTGCTGCCTATAATAAAGCAAGAAACCAGCAGCCAGACACCTTTTTTAAAACACAGCCGAAACAGCAAAACACCACCTAATTTCCTGCCGAACATGACGCAAAATCAATCACAAGAATAGGTTTTCGGGGGCCGAAACGTCCCTTCTGAAATCCTACTAGAAATCCAACTTTGTCCAATAGAAATCTAATTTTGTCCAATTTGATCTCTAATTTTGATTGCTGCTACTGCCTCTAATAAAGTAAGAAACCAGCAGCCAGACACCTAATTTCGTGCCGAACATGACGCAAAATCAATCACAATAATATACCAATGTTTATAGTTTTCGACCAATGTTTATACCACTGTTTGTTGCTGCTGTTGCCTCTAATAAAGCGAGAAACCAGCAGCCAGACACCTTTTTTAAAACACAGCCGAAACAGCAAAACACCACCCAATTTCGTGCCGAACATGACGGAAAATCAATCACAATATTAAGTTTTCGGGGGCCGAAACGTCCCTTCTGAAATCCTACTAGAATCCAATTTTGTCCAATTTTGATCTCTAATTTTGACTGCTGCTGCTACCTATAATAAAGCAAGAAACCAGCAGCCAGACACCTTTTGTAAAACACAGCCGAAACAGCAAAACACCACCTAATTTCGTGCCGAACATAACGCAAAATCAATCACAATAATAGGTTTTCGGGGGCCGAAACGTCCCTTCTGAAATCCTACTAGAAATCCAATTTTGTCCAATAGAAATCTAATTTTAGTCAAATTTGATTGATCTCTAATTTTGATTGCTGCTGCTGCCTCTAATAAAGCAAGAAACCAGCAGCCAGACACCTTTTTTAAAACACAGCCGAAACAGCAAAACACCACCCAATTTCGTGCCGAACATGACGGAAAATCAATCACAATATTAGGTTTTCGGGGGCCGAAACGTCCCTTCTGAACTCCTACTAGAAATCCAATTTTGTCCAATAGAAATCTAATTTTAATCAAATTTGATCTCTAATTTTGATTGCTGCTGCTGCCTCTAATAAAGCGAGAAACCAGCAGCCAGACACCTTTTTTAAAACACAGCCGAAACAGCAAAACACCACCCAATTTCGTGCCGAACATGACGGAAAATCAATCACAATATTAAGTTTTCGGGGGCCGAAACGTCCCTTCTGAAATCCTACTAGAAATCCAATTTTGTCCAATTTTGATCTCTAATTTTGACTGCTGCTGCTACCTATAATAAAGCAAGAAACCAGCAGCCAGACACCTTTTTTAAAACACAGCCGAAACAGCAAAACACCACCTAATTTCGTGACGAACATAACGCAAAATCAATCACAATAATAGGTTTTCGGGGGCCGAAACGTCCCTTCTGAAATCCTACTAGAAATCCAATTTTGTCCAATAGAAATCTAAAGTCAAATTTGATCTCTAATTTTGATTGCTGCTGCTGCCTCTAATAAAGCGAGAAACCAGCAGCCAGACACCTTTTTTAAAACACAGCCGTCCCAATTTCGTGCCGAACATCGGAAAATCAATCACTAGAAATTCTGAAATCCTTTGTCCAATTTTGATCTCTAATTTTGACTGCTGCTGCTACCTATAATAAAGCAAGAAACCAGCAGCCAGACACCTTTTGTAAAACACAACCGAAACAGCAAAACACCACCTAATTTCGTGCCGAACATAACGCAAAATCAATCACAATAATAGGTTTTCGGGGGCCGAAACGTCCCTTCTGAAATCCTACTAGAAATCCAATTTTGTCCAATAGAAATCTAATTTTAGTCAAATTTGATTGATCGCTAATTTTGATTGCTGCTGCTACCTCTAATAAAGCAAGAAACCAGCAGCCAGACACCTTTTTTAAAACACAGCCGAAACAGCAAAACACCACCCAATTTCGTGCCGAACATGACGGAAAATCAATCACAATATTAGGTTTTCGGGGGCCGAAACGTCCCTTCTGAACTCCTACTAGAAATCCAATTTTATCCAATTTTGATCTCTAATTTTGACTGCTGCTGCTGCCTATAATAAAGCAAGAAACCAGCAGCCAGACACCTTTTTTAAAACACAGCCGAAACAGCAAAACACCACCTAATTTCCTGCCGAACATGACGCAAAATCAATCACAAGAATAGGTTTTCGGGGGCCGAAACGTCCCTTCTGAAATCCTACTAGAAATCCAACTTTGTCCAATAGAAATCTAATTTTGTCCAATTTGATCTCTAATTTTGATTGCTGCTACTGCCTCTAATAAAGTAAGAAACCAGCAGCCAGACACCTAATTTCGTGCCGAACATGACGCAAAATCAATCACAATAATATACCAATGTTTATAGTTTTCGACCAATGTTTATACCACTGTTTGTGCAATGAGACATAGAACCCTCCTGTTGCTCCTGTTGCTGCTGCTGCTCATGGCCACCACTTGAAACGCTGAAACGCCACCTAATTTCGTGCCCAAAACGCTCCAAAATCGAGCCCAAAAAGTGCCTAACGTCCCTTCTGAAATCCTAGAAAAAAAAAGAACTGCCTTTGTGATGATAACCGTCTTGTCAAACACCTTCTATTTCCTCCTGCTGCTGCTGCTGCTCCTGCTCCTGTGACTCCTTCTGTTCAAAAGGCACCTGCCGGATGGGAAAACACCATGGCAGTAGTAGTAGTAGTAGTAGTAGTAGTAGTAGTAGTAGTAGTAGTAGTCCGAAACAAGAGTCAAAAGTATTATTCCCTGGCACGCTCCCCCTTGCGTCTGCCGGGGTCGGCGGATATTGACTGCTGGCTACTGGCTGGGTGCTGCTGTCTTATTCCCTAACGCGCTCCCCCTTGCGCAGCCGGGGTCGGCGGATATATATATATATATATATATATATGTATACTGTATACTGTATACTGTATATATATATATACATATATATATACACTTATGTGTCATTCCATGGAAGTATATTCCGATATATCCATCCATTGATCTCCTTGGTTTCACGTGGTTTCACTCCGTTGACGAGGTGGCGGTTCCAGAGGGTTTGGAAGCCTTGAGAGGGTGGATCTCCGAAAGCTTCGTGGTGGAGGCCCACAACAACAAGAGGCGGATCGGAGAGTGTTGTGGGGAAGTGGGGGATGTTTTCTGCACTTTTATTTTTTAGTGGGATACCCTCTGGTAATTTAACGTAACTATTGAAAATTGCAATGTATAGTTGATTGACCTATTGGACATGGTGATTTTCCATAGCTATTTTAGTTTGCCAGAGGGTATGTATGAAGTTTTTTTGGGGGTGTTGCCAAGTCCTGGATGACCACTTTAGGAAACATAACAATAGGATAATAATGGAACATTAAGGTAATATTAATGGGATGTTAGCGGGATATTAATGGTATACCTATGATACACATATACCTCAACATTGCAATTTGAATGGCAAACAGATAAACCTTTAGGTTGGGGTTGCCCTGTTCTTGGACAACCCAAGTCAAAAATTAGATTTGTATCAAAATAGGTATAGTCACCAATCATGACTATATTCCTTCCCCCTGAAAATTTCCCGAGTGGAGGACGGAGGATGTTTCTTTTTGGAGTCCTCTATCATCATGTGGGATTCACAGAAGCTGCAGGAGCCGGCAGATGATTATCGACAGGATGTTTTCAGACGCTTTGCTGCCACATCTGGAGGACTCTTTCAACGCATGCTTCCGACCTTTGTGCGATGTGGTTGTGGGTCAAGTCCGTGGGTTTCTGAATTTCGTTTGCTATTTAGAACATATGTTAGTTTTTGATAGTTTTTTCTACTAAGTGCATTATTTAAAGTACAACCATGAAGAAAAAAACCGCCTGAGTCAATGGTCACCAGGACACCAACTCGGAAGAGCTCCAAGATGCACCGCCCAGGACGGGCCGTGGGTGATCTGGATGCTGTGATTTTGCGTTTTTTTTTCAGAAGATGCAATGAGTATTCGTTGCTTTACTGTTATTACAAGAGTACTTCTGAATAAACCACATATCTCAGAATCGTTGTTTTTTTTGTCCTCGCTCTTGAAATGGTTTTATCAAACCAAAGATTGGGATCCCTCTCGTTCAGATCCAGCCCATCCGGGATCCCTTTGTCACCCACGCGCACTGTGAGGAAATTCCTGGAGCAGCTGGCCCTGATGCTCTGCATTTTGCTGATAGAGTCGCAGACCAGCTCCTGGTTCCTTGACTGCTGGGAAAGGCACCATGCCTGACTGAAGGTTACCCTTATAATGGAAATTCCTATTAAAATATATTAAAATGGATGATTTGGGGCTACCATCATTTAGGAAACCAGCATATGGTTGCTTGGAAAGCGGAGGAGCTAAGCGCTTGATAGAAATGGATAGAGATGGTGGGCCCAATTTTAAATGTGCTTACACAGCTGGTTCTTTGCATACAAACATCCTGTGGTTCTGAACTTTCCCCGGGCTGCACCAAGTGTAATTATTCACTGGCAGGAAGAGTAATGTGGCAATGTCACAATCAATGATGCTTTCTCCAAAATCATCCCAGAGAGACATGACTTGTCCTAAATTTGATTTAGGAAATTCCTACATTGTCCTACATGACAAGATATGGCCAAGTGCTGCCAAGTTTTCACATCACGTTTGATCAGTTGACGTCATCCAGTTCTGTATGAAGGTCCAGACCCCCTGACCAAGTGTTTCACATATTTCCACTGGTCGATAAGTATAGAGACCCAATTTTCTCAATCAGTAAGTCAATGGACATGATGTATACAAATTGTATTCAAATCCCGATCGCTTTCCCAAACAAGGATATCATTGGTTCCATCTTGTGTGGGTCACAACCAGATCAGTACTCAAAACCCAAGCAGCAGGAGTTATGATGGATGTTCATCTCCCCAATTTCAATAATCCCATGTTTATTGATGCCACTCTCCATTATTTCAGACTTGGTTGAAGGGAACACATACGGTTGAAACCCTGACATCTGAGGCAAAAACCAGCCAGCTTCCGGTTCAGATGTTCCCCAAAATCAACCCATCGATCGCAATAGTCCCCCAAAAATCCCCAAATAGTCGTTGTCATCGTCATCGTCGTCATCGTCATCATCGTCATCATCGTCATCGTCATCGTCATCGTCATCATCATCATCATCATCATAATCATCATCATCATCATCGTCATCATCATCATCATCATCATCATCATCATCATGATCATCATCATCATCATCAATATAAATATCAATACATACATATAATATATATATATATTTATACATACACTGCATATATACACATCTCTCTCTCTCTATATATATATACACAATGTATTGCATATATATATGTTTTATATATATATATACACACCCATATACATATTGTATATTGATAAATCATAATCCACAATCATCCACGTTCCCAGAAGATATGGCCACTTCTTCTCCAGGTTGGAGGCGGTGATGACCAGTCCGCGCGAAGCCAAGAAACTCTTCTGGCCCACGATGCCGGACAGTGAGGTGCCTGCAGAAACCATGAAGTTCCCATTATAACCATATTATAAGTGGGTAAAATAACTATAGTAAGTATAATATAATTATCTATTCATGACATGGTTATAACATAATATGATTATTATGGTTATTCTATGGTTATTATATGGTCATTCTACTGCGTAAAATAACTATCATATGGTTATTCCATGGTTATGAAATATTATAGTCGTTATATGCGCATTTTAGGTGGAAGTATCATAGCATCTTTTCATATTATACATATTTATACCGTAAACGGGCAATCAGCACTAACCATAAGTGGGCAATAAGCATATGAAAAAGCCAAGTTATAGATAGATATATATATATATATAATATTTTTTTTGTTTCCCATTTTGGTTTGTCACAGAGACAGCAGGATGGCTTGGGAAGACGTCTATGAAGGTGCAAATGCGACAAATATACAGAATTTCAAGGAATTATTTAAACCATACAATTCAGCACGTGTTCCAATATTCAAAATTGTCATCATCCATGCACTTTGCCAAATCCGACTCCATCATTGTCATCGCTCCATGCCAAGTTGGCCATTTCTTTCGCTGCAGGAGGCAGCTGTGATTGGTGCCATGGGATATGTCGGCTGGTCCCTCGGCCCATGTCGCAGCCAATGATTTGACCCATTTTTCAGAGGAAACCATGATGAAATCACCAGAGATGATTTCAATCACTTTGAGTCTTTTCGTCCCCAAACCATGTCAAATCCATATTTTCGAACTTAACCGACCTAACCCCCATTTTCATCGGTTGAATTACTTGAATCTCCATTCTTGTTGAACCATGGTAACCATGGGCCATCAAGGTACACCTGTCCGAACGGCCACCCCTACTCCGTGGGCGAGTGCACTCGGCCCATGCAGCAGGGCCGTTGCCCGGTGGTGGGCTGCGGGGCGGCCATCGGCGGCGAGTCGCATGTGAACGTGCGCCATGGCGGCAGCATGGGTGGAAAGTGGAAACAACTATATAGTAACTATGTACAGCTGTAGTTGCCTCTGCCAATCTACATTTTTGAAGATTTTATAATACTGACATCAAAGTCTCACATCAAAGTATTTTTAATGTTTTTGAAGAATATTTGATATAATAGTCACATGAAAGTCTCACATGTAAAAGTTGGTATTATTGTTGAGACTTTGATGTTAGTTAGTTGTGGATCCGTTCAATCCCACTTCACTTACTCGTGATATGAACGCCGATCGGAGATGATGAGGGTGAAGCAAATCAACATGAATCAAGAAAACCAAGAGCCCTACGGCCTTGTCTGTAGCCAGTGTAGCCAGGAATTTGTGCTATTTAAGAGGTTGAGCTTAGCAGCAGAAGAACACCACTACTTAAGATGAAGATTTCCATAGCCAAATTGCAACTTGTACGCCCGAGAAACTGCTAATCTACCCAGTGCGTGGTGTTTGGAAGTGCCAGCATGCCTACACAGGCCTACACAGGCCATGTTGAAGGACTTGCGATAAGACAGTTTGGTTCCCATCATCCTATCCCTTACTCTTCACCCTAGGAGTCCTAGGAGCATATTTTTCAGTAAGGGATGCATATTTATATAACATTATAACTCCATTTACTGGGTAAAGAGTAAGGGATCTTTATTCCCATCATCCAGTAAGGAACAGGACTTACTTATCCTAGTCTGTTCTTACAGGACGCTTGGGGAGTATTATATCCTCATCTTATTTTCAGTAACTGTATCATGTAAGGGGCATTATCCTAATCTTGTCTTCAGTGAAATAAATATCTTCAGCATGTCCTGATAACCAAGGAGTGGCGTCAAGTCAGTGAAGCAGGACATTGGGAAGACTTGGCCATGGGTCACCATCAAAGACCTTGAAAGGCAGGGAAACTAGATTGGCGAAGATCATACTGGTGTGTATATATATATATACATATATACATATAGATATATAGATATATAGATATATAGATATGTAGATATGTAGATATGTAGATATGTAGATATGTAGATATGTAGATATGTAGATATGTATATATGTAGATAGATATATAGATATATAGATACATATATATATATAGATAGAGATATAGAATATATATATATAGATACTGTAGATATATAGATATATATAGATATATAGATATTATATATATATAGATATATAGATATGTAGATATGTAGATATGTAGATATGTAGATATGTAGATATGTAGAAATGTATATATGTAGATAGATATGTAGATAGATATATAGATAGATAGATAGATACAGATATGCATATAAATATATATAGATAGATGGATAGATAGATAGATAGATAGATAGATACAGATATGCATATATATATAGATAGATAGATAAGATAATATAAGATAAGATAAGATTAGATTTGATTAGATAGATAGATAGATATAGATATAGATTTAGATTTAGATATACATATTTTATGAACATAATGGAGGATGGCGTGCAGGGACAGAGTCCCGTGAGCCCCTCCGAAGCACCTTGATCATCAGTGCAGCGGTTTCGCAGGAGATGTTGACCCGTAAATCCCAGCCTGGCTTCATGGCGGCCACCAGTGAGCTCTTGGATGCTTGGATGGAACATCTCTGGCTACACCTTGGTAGTTATGGATAGTTTACCCTCTGCAATGGAAAACACATTCCCATTTAGACATGTTTTTTCCATAGGTTTTACTGGATTGAATGGGATTTCATGCATTTTTTGCCATAAATGGGGGATATGTGATAGCCAGCTGCATAAAACTATCGCAGGATATGGTGACATTCGCCATGCGTGGGTCATGGAGAAGGCCCCCCCATCAAATCCACCCGAAGTGGTGGTTTTGCTGAGGAAATCTGATCGGTTTCAGGGTCAGTTTAGACCCACCTTGGTTTCAAACATTTTTTTGCATGACCATCCTGACTGTTAGGAATGACTTCTGTCAATTAACCCATGTTGAGCCAATCTGCTCAATGGATCCACCTCTATGGCCCCAGGATCAGACCATTGTGAATCAGTGCCTGGGCAGCGTCAAGTTCCCTATGAAATGACCATGTTGGGGGAATAAACATACGGCCTATAGCAGCTATTTTAGGATACCTATGGTAGGGTTTTGAGTCATAGCCATGTGAGGATCAAGACATGGAAGAATTGATCCGCGGCTCGGCAGCTCGGCAGGTTCAATCGCCAGCTGAACATGCGCGGCTTGAAATCCTTGCGCTTGGTGGTGTACATCTCCTTATGGGCCCGGTGCCCAAGGGGATGGCCAGGGAATCACCGACATCTGCTGTGTTTTTTTCAGCCTCCATGTCTTCAGGTTTTAATCTTCAGTAATCCAACATGGCAATAGGACATCCACGAATTAAATGGGTCTTAATGGGAACATCAAGATCACTTTTTCTGAAGGGTATATATATATACCCATTGCAATCAAAGAAACATCCCATTATCCCATTAAGCCCCATATTACCCTCTGGTACACTAACATAACTATGGAAAATCACCATTTTCAATGGCTAAATCAACTATTTCTATGGCCATTTTCAATAGCTATGTTAGTTTACCAGAGGGTAATCCCCATATTCATCCCCATATATCACCAGATGCTCGAAATCGCCGAGGTGAGCCTTGGTGGCGACCAAGCAGACGTCGCCGCATCCACGGTGAAGCCCGGCGGCGCAGCCAACGTGAGGTGGCGCAGCATACCCAGATTGATGATTTGTTGGGAGATTCATTGATTGTTTGGGAGCAATTTTTTCTGGTAACTGATGAATCATGAATGATAAATCATATTTCGAGATTTTTTCAAGTCTCTCTTTGGATAGTTATCCAGAAAAGAGCGCTGTGAGCGTTGGGTTTTTGGGCATGTGTGAAAATTCCTAATAAGGCACTTGGTGTCCATCTCATTGCCTAATAAATCATTGAGATCTCAATTCTGGAGATGTACCTCACCTCTCCAAATGCCAGAAAACCACAAAAACAAAAACAGCACTAAAAAAAACACAGATTTTGGGACAATGTCAGCACCCCACATGTCTCCCAAATCGTTTTTTCTTTTTGGTTTTCTGGCATTTGGATAGGTGAGGTACATCTCCAGGATTGAGGTCTCAATGGTTTCACAACAGAGTGCCGGCCACAGCGCCGGACATGAAGTGGAATTGGTACTTCGGGCTAGCCGATATACATGTGTTAGACCTGTAGACAGCAAATTCTTGGCTTTGAACAGAAGACTCAATGAACATTGCATCCCAAGAAAGTGTTTTTGTCGGTTTTTCCAACGCTGGTGACGCTCAGCTCTCCAGAAAAATTCGCCGCAGGAGTGCGGCTGAGTATCTCTACGGCCAGATTTGCGAGGCCACTGGACCGGTCCTGGAATGCCTGTAGGCATCGGCTGATGTTCTGAACGATGTAGCCTGTCTATGCCTATCTAATCTTTGGAACCTGAGTCAAGAATCTTAGAATCTGGATGTTAGTTGATGTTAGTTGAAGACATTTAAAGACTAGTAATTAACTGATATTGTTGCGATGCCAAGTGGATTTTTGCGCTCACAGGTTCAATCCCCATAGATCCTTCCAAGATGTTCGCACAGAACGGGGTCATGGGTTTGCTCGGTTTGCTGTAAATTCTCTACAAAATCAAAGCAATCAGTGGTTGATTCATTGTGATTATTATCCATTTGCAGATTTCCCATCCAAAAGAACGGGGTTTCTTACAAACATCCCCGAAATTGCTAGGTGAATCCCGAAACAGTTCCATTCATGTCTGCGATGTTTTTGTATCAGGGTACCCAGTTACCCGATGGGTCTTACCCCCCAAAACACGCACGATCAAAACCAATCCCCGGAATGGCTGAGAGCCATTTTGGTCAAACATTTCGTTTTTTCAGCACATATATTATGTAGTATATATTGTATCATTATATATATGTATATATGATGTATCTGTATATACTATGATTGGTTGTAGACCGCATGTGGTACATGTATATATGTATATGTGTATATATGTATATATGTATATGTGTATATGTGTATATATGTATATATGTATATATGTATATATGTATATATGTATATATGTATATATGTATATATATATATATGTATATATATATGATTATATATGTATATACATATTATGGTCACATGCAATGTCTATGAACCATATAATGCCAACTTAAAGCATCAGGCCTGGAAGGAGCTGCTGCAGCGCACGCGGCTTCCGAGCCGCGAGTTGTGTGCGTGGCTTCACCTGGCGATCCTCGGGACGCCGAACCTGGTGGTGCGAACCATGGCTCTTTAAGGTCACTTTCCGGGGGGAAGGTTGATGGATTTTCATGGGGATACTGACACTGATGGCGAATACACGGGAAATCCTCTACGCGAAAAAGAATAGGGGAATACCAACCACAATTTATAGAATCCAGTTGCTTTTTTGATAAATCCATGGCGGAATCTATGGGACTCTACTTGATTACCCTAAGGATTCTATAGGGAATATTTGAAATTTATAGCTATGAAATGTGGGCTGGATCTGGGTTCAGGGTAATTAACTCAAAGTTCCTTAATATCTCAGGGTACCCAACGATAAACCCCCGACAATTGGAAGCTTAGTAAGCTCCATTGGGGTTGATGGGGGTTAAACCCGAAACGTTCGGCTTCATTTGCTCGGGGGGTTGAAGGGCGTGCAAATTGAGTTGACCTGTACCTGAGTGGTGAATGCCGAATGATAGGGATACACACGGAATCAAACAGATGTATATGTTATATATATATCATCATACATACTGCAATAGATATAGGTATAGATATAGATGTAGATATAGATAGCTTTAGATATAAATATAGATACAGATACATATATAGATAATGTAGATATTGTATATTCATTCGGAAAGCTGGACCCCGCAGCCCAAGATAAAGTGTAAAGCCAGGGTCATGACTACGGATACGCTAGGTTTGGCTGGAAGTTCATTGGGGGAATCGGCCCTGCTCGAGATTTGGTAAGTGCAAACCCAACCCCGGAAACTTTGCCATGGTTTCTGAGGAAAATTGAATACTGAAGCTGATCGGTTGAAATACGAGGAAGAATTTCAGGCAGGGTAGTGAGAGATTTAGCAGAGTGCTGGATGAGTGAGAGATGGGTTGGCGGGTGTAATACAATGTTTGATTGAGTTCATTTTGAAACGTAGTGCGGCGCTTTGGCGGGAAATCGTTTTGAACGTATCTAGCTCAGCTTTAAGGTTGGCCGAGCAAATGACACGACGAACCCTGGTCATAGCTCTTTGCAAGATTTCAACACCTCATGTATCCTCATGTTGCAGTTATCATAATGTAAACTGTCTGCTAGCAAGGCAAACAGGTCTAAGGATTTCTCTGTAAACGCTGGTGATTTTGTAGGTGAAGATGGGTTGAGTTCGCGGTCCATCGTGCCAAAAACTCCTTTGCAGGATAGGAAAGATTTGCTTGGATTTGCTATATATGGATTACCTTCCAGTATACTGACAGTAGCTAACACAGCTATTGAAAATGACCCATTTATAGATGACTTAATTATCCATTCGATTAGACATGGTGATTTTCATAGCTATGACAACCATGCCCTGCCGTCTGCTCTTGTCAGATTGCCACCGAGCAAGCAATGTTCAACGGCATGACTGGGGAGGCACTGAAGAGTTCAATGGGTCTACTGGGTCTACTGGGTCTACTGGGTCTACTGGGTCTACTGGGTCTACTGGGTCTACTGTTTTTGTTGGGTCAGTTACAAGGGTACTATATACTATGTACTTTAATATGTACTATAATATGTACTGTACTAATATATGCCTCAAAACTGGGCCCAAGATGCCATGGTTTATCATCGTTCTCTCCATTATCAATTGACCAAACACTGATATCTAATACCACGCTGTTCTTGCTCGCCATCGCCATGTCAGCGTGTCAAAACATGAAATGATCTCCATCTATGTTTCATCCTGTATCCTTGGTATATCTATGATATACCCTCTAGTAAACAAACATAGCAATGGAAAGTCACCATTTGTAAGAGGTAAATCAACTCTAAACGGCAATTTTCGATAGCAAACTGTGAATCAGACTCAAATCCCATTAATTTTATTAAAGCCCATGATATAAATCCCACTATATCATATTTTGTCCCATAGAATCCCATTAAATTCCCATGGTTTTTGTCGCACCCCCGACGCAGGCGCGGAAGTCCATGGACGTGGGCACCGACTACACCGCGGCGGCCTCTGCAGGCTTCGGCGCGGACTGGAAGGAGCTCTGCGAAGCTTGTCCCGACTTCCAGTAATGGAGACCATTGGTCGCAACTATATATATAATATAATAATATATATATAGAATATATGATATATATATATATATTTATATTATTTTATATTATTATATGAATATTGAATCTATATGATATTATTATATATATACACTGTATATACGATATTATTTGATATACCACATTATCAACGATAATACCAAGGATGCAATTTGTAAGATTACATATCCACAAGATTTGGGTATATAATTGCGTTTTTCCCCAGAATGTATCAGCAGCAGCAAGGAGTTATAGCGACCAACCTCACCATGAACCCTAGTTGATATTCGGGGAACCATCAAACCTTGCGGAAGAAATGACGCCTGGAATTTGTACACTGCATATTACAGATTTCGGAAGTATGAGATTGTTACTGATTGGCGGTTTCTGTTCAGCCTATGGGGTATGACCACACCTTTAGTATCCTTTAGGAGCGACAAGTTCCTCCAAGGATGGTTGGGACAAGTCCGTCTACGAGCAGATGGAGCGCAAGCCGTGTATTCTGTGGAGAGAGGGGCCGTTTTTTCATTGATCATCTCATGTTGAACTTGGAAAGGGGCAAGGTGGCAACTTTATTTGCCAGATTTGATCAGATATTCAATGGATTGGTTTAAGGGAAAATCTACAGGAAACCATGGTTTTTACCATCAAATATAGGGGTTTCCTGTAAATTTTCCCATCATCCAATTCTTTGAGATATGGATGGTAGAGTGTGTGGAACCCCTGATATCCCTCCGAACAAGTGGGAACCTCACTTATAGATCTCATTTCATCGCCGCCATGGTGCACTGGATCGTCAGCGGGTAGTAAGACATGCAGAAAGGACAAGCATCATCAAACATGCCGCAAAAGCAAAGTGTCAATGTCAAGCCATCAATCCAGGGATTCCTGACACATGGGCCTTCCTTCAAAATATACCCAGGGCCCCCAAAAAAATCAACAGCAACTCCTCCGAACTTCGCCAGTTTCAGAATTCAACCAGTTTTTGGAGCCTAAGAAATATAGATCGCAGACTTTTTGGAGAAACTCCACGGCTTTTCATGTAATCCACCAGCGATGCGGCGCCACCGGGCGCAGCTTCGGCGCCGCTCCCCGTCCCCCGAGTGGCAGCCGTCGCCCCCACGGGGTCGGGTGCGCCACGTGAGGCCGGCCTCGTCCCGCAGCCCGCTGCCGCCTCCGCGGCGGGCCCGGAGGAGGAGACGGCGCCATGGCAGGGCCAGGGACGCCCGAGACGATTCCAGGGATGGCTTCGATTCCTTCGGGTCCCAGGCGATGGGGGATGGATGTTGGGTGAGTGGAACTCGGTGTGAAGGGACCGGTGGCGTGGTGTTGTCACAAATGGGTTCTGTGAAGGAAGACTCGCAGATCACATTGCGCTGATTCCTGGATTCAGGGTGGAGTATGTGGAGTGGAGTAGCTGCACTACATGGTTCAAGTGAGATTTTGTGACAGGCTCAAATCAAAGTACCTCATGATTTGTGATGATTTGTGATGATTTGTGTAATTATAATTGTTGCTTTAAGATTTGTTTCCGCCCCTTGCGAATCATTCTGCTCCATTTGCACATGGTACCCCCTGGTAATCAAAGGCAATCCATTAAATTTCCATGATTTTCCAATTGGTAAAACATAGTAAAACCATGTAAAACCTCCATTTCATATCATTTCATGCGAGGATTTCCCTGCCATGGAGCTGATTTTTAGCGGGTAAACCCATCAGGCCGACTTCGAAAGTCGTTCTCGCACTCCGCCGCGGGCCCGGGACGGCCGCGGCAACGGTCACCGTGGCAGCGGGGTCAACGCCGTCCCACTGGGCCGTCATGATCCACCGGACCCAGAGGCGATTTGGGGTATCCGTGGGCCTTAAATGGGGAGGCAGCTGGCGCCACTATAGGAGTTTCCCAACCACCTTGTGGATTAGCTTGAACATTGGTTTTGATAAGAGAACTAGGATATAGAATGTGGTAAGATCAAGTAGGGTCCAAGGGTCCAAGAGAACAATACGCCCTGATCCAAGATTGATCCAAGATGCTTTGGGGATAGAATCGGATAGAAAAGCCAGGTTCAGGGAGTTAAGGGTTGATCACGGGTTGATTGGGACTCTTGCATTTTCATATATTGGAAGGGGCTCATGATTCATCTCATGATTCATCTCATGATTTGGATCGCAACTGAGTCGTTGCAACCCAGCTATCGAGATTTCTGCTTGGATGCCCATCCAAGCAGCCATAGACATTTTGTAAATTTTGTACGTGTGATGTGGCTATTGTGTCTCTGATCACTGGACCCATCTGGCATATTCTGGCATGATCTTCTTCAAATGACTCCATTCTGCTGTTGGCTGTCTGCCAGGCACGTATTTGGATCCTGCACAGCGATGCGGCAAAGGTGCGAACACCCAGGATAGAGTTGCGTTGTGAAATTCTTGAAGTTGTGGTTTTTGCAAAAAGGTGTGAAGAGTTATTACATGTCCAATTTCTGGTGTGGTTGAAACCTCACCTTTTGAAGCGAATCCAAAAGGTGCAGAAATATCAGGGGCATTCAGGAGATGTCTAGTCAAGGGGACATTGACGTTCCAATCAATTCTGATGTCCTTGTTTTGACACCGGTAATTTCAAAATATGAGAGCCTTGCGAAGGAAACTCAGGCCTGAGATGTGTAACAACATGTAACAACCAATAAAACCAACCCCGAAGTTCACATATCAAGTAGGGTTGGCTCGCTGTCGAAGGGCCTTAAGGGCTCCCTTGGCTCGCCGGCATTGTTCAGCTTTGGATGGTTTGTTTCTCTGTCTTGCCATGATTTCTTCTTGATTTATTTAAATGCAACCAAGGGCCCTCAATGGCCCTCAGGCATTTGAACAGTTTCATGGGTCAAGGCTGGATGGCATTGCAGAGATCTTGGAAGGTTTTTGATTTGGGAGCAGCACTGAAGGTTTTCCTACCACGGCCGTTTTAGCCCTGAGTTGGATTTTTCTTGCGCCGCTGTTGGGCTTGGTATTTGAAAATATTTCAAGGATGAACCGGATCACTTTTTCGCATTGGTCCAATGGGATGGAAGATGAATGGCATCTTGAAAGAAGCTTAGAGTGATGGCCTCCAGATTTGAAGACAACCAACAACATTGTGGCTATATAACATCTATATGACTAAGCATGTTCTTGAGGAGATTGAATTCAATTTGATTGGTGTCATGGGGCCCCATTTGGAATAGCTGGACCTGTCTGGACCTCATCATAGTATAGCAGCAGGAAGTCTTCCCAGTGCAACGCCATGGAGCGCCTCTGTTGCCGACGAGCAACGCGCATCAGTTCTGCACCAAAACAGGTGTGTATTACTGTATCGTTGCCCAATGGTCACTTTGAAGCCATTCTGTGTGACAGAAATTGGTTCGTTTCTGACCTGGAGCGTCTTGCAGAGAAGGTGTTTCAGAAGGGTTTCCTGCGACTGGCCGGCCTGGATGGCCAGGTCTTGGATTCGAAGCTTTCCCTGAACATGGCTGGACTGGAAGACAGAGATATCCTCACTGCAATTGCACAAGCACCGAAAGTGGCGGCCACCGCCCTATCATTCGCACTCTGGCACTGCAACTCTCATATGGTTGTTTGGGGGAGGCCACAGTTTGGTGGCGACTGCTCTAGAGTTCAAAATCGCCTCGAATGCGTGCAGGAGGTTCAAGCCTCTTTTTGTTCCTTTGCTGCCATCCAGTCGGACAGAAGTGTAGTGACGTGGGGTGATCCACCCGCGGGGGTGACAGCACTGCAGTTCAAGACCGGCTCCAAGATGTTCAGTGCATCCAAGCTTCTTGGTGCTCATTTGCTGCAATCCTTTCAAACGGAAGGGTTGAAACATGGGGTCATCCAGAAGGCGGTGGTGATAGCAGTGAAGTCAAAGATGAGCTGTGCAATGTTCAGCAGATTCAGGGAAACGGGTCTGCCTTTGCTGCGATCCGGGCAGATGGAAGTGTTGTGACGTGGGGTCTCTGTGGCGGTGACAGTACTCAAGTGCAACGTCAGCTTCGGGATGTAACAGAGGTTCAGGCCTCCATGGAAGCTAACGCATGCGGAAATCAAAGACCAGACGACGCAAAGCCGTCACATTGCGAGGTCTGCAGTGGGCCTTCGCCAAGGGTCGCATCACTATTGCTTGTCCGGCAGGCTTAGAGGTGCCATGTCCATGCCTCAGTGCTCCTAAGCTGTTAGGGCTAAACAACCTGTTCAGAGGAGGGGCTGGGGGGGCAAGAGCTACATCTAGGCATAGAAACCAGGCAGCCGAATCTGAACTGTTGGGTGGTTTGCAAGCTTTGCTGGAAAAATTTGCACCAAATCATCCAAGTCCGGAACGTCCGGTCAAAAAGGCCAAAATGCATAGCTCGCCCGAGGGCGCCCATGCACAAGGGTTGCTACCTGCTCTGCAGCAGCTAGTCCAAAAGGCAGAAAAAGAACCCAAAGGTTTACTTGAAAGTTTGCGCGAACTGGTTGCAAGATATGCCCAAGCAGACAATGGATTGCCTCAAAGCTCTCTCAAAAGAATGCGTTGGGCTGACGGAGAGGATCAGGCTCAAGCCAGCCAGCCGCCACCCAAGAAAGGGAAAGGCAAAGGCAGTCTTCCTCCGGGCAAAAGTGGTGGCAAACATCCCGCCAACCAAAGCCCACCCAATCCAAAAGGGAAGGGCCAAGGGCCAACCAAGGGTGGAGCCCCAACAAACGGGCCAGACCAACCTACCAGCTGGGCTTCTGTTGTTGCAAACGGCGTGCCCACACCACGGACAGCCCAGCCCACTAGTTCTAAACCAGTTGCCACAGAGCCTAGGAAAAAGACGGCAGTTTTGAACGTGCAGCTGCACCGTCATGTCTTCCCTGCAGGGGCCATTACTCCAGTTGCCGAGGCACGCGAAGCACTCGAACAGGGTAAAGCACCCACGGGAAATGTGATCCTTTGCAATCCCACGGCAGTGCAAGATTTGCGCCGCCTGGCTAGCCTGCACCAGCTTACCGATGCCAAGGTTGCCTTGCTGACTCCACACGTACCAGATGACTCGGCGCCTCCGCACAGTAACGCTATGTGGTTACCCACCTGGGAAGGAGGCAAACCAAACGTTAGACAGTTCTGGGTATCCCCTTTGGTCAAAGACTTGCCAACACTGCCCGAACAAAAGCTGAAACAAACGAAGGTTAGGATTGATTCGGAACCGCTTCTCACTTTCCGAGCCACCATCGCAAGCAATCTATGCTCCAGAGATTGTTGGGATTCCTGCAAGCGAAACCCTCCGGCGCACATCTATGGTACCTTCGACAAGGGCGTTGTGCACTCAACATTTGGTTGGAGAGAAATCAGCGTTCCAGCCAAGAAAGAAGGGGTCTCTGAAACCTTTTTGCAAGGGTTCATTCGAACCAAAAAGCAATTCGCAACCAAAATGGATTCTCACGTCGGATCAGATGGTTTGTTCATTGAACGTCTCGCTTCCGATCCTACCCCACGTCGATCAGTTTGGTGGGTTCCTAGGCATGAAGGCGAATTGCCACTTGACTACCATGCCAGAGCCCTCACTGAAGCCAGAAACCAAAACGCCACTTTAGCGCATCGACGCGGTGGCGGGGCCTTCTTAGGTTTAAGGTTAGGGCAGGGCAAAGCCAAGGCTCAGCTGCGTGCCTGGTCATTACACAATGCACCCAAATCATGGAATGCCCAAGAGGTAATTCAGTGTGTCCTCGACTCTGGAGCTTCAGACGTTGAGGTAGTACGACCGCCAGGTCGCCAACGAAGCTGGCTGCTCAAGGCAGTCGTGCCCGACGAAGACGATCTCGGGGTAGTAGCAATCCAAGCTAATGACAGAACGCTGCTCCTCAATCGCCAGCAAAATAAGGCCAAGAGAACTGTGCAAGTTGTTTCTGTGATCCGCACACCAAAGCATAAGGTTCCTGAGTGTCAGATCCTGCTGCAAAACCCAGAACCTGTCGCCAGGAGCAATGCGAACACCTCTGGTGGGACGGCTGAGGTTGCAGCTGCAGAAGGTCGCGGGCGGAGTCGTTCTCCCGCACGAGGTGAAACCACGAAAACTGAACCAGCCTTCCCTTATGCCGATAAGTTTGAAGCTCTTGACTGCGGAGGGGGTGGCGACTGCGGCTACTTGTGTTTAGCTGCCGGCATGGGATTTGACAAAGGTGAACCATGGGAAGACTTGCAGTCTAAACTCCTCACTCGATCCCGCACCATTCGCAATGACCTTTACAAACATATGAGTAGCTCTCGTCATGAGGCTGAGTATAAAGCATACTTCACTCCCCAGCTGGCCGGCAGTGAAGCGCAAGAGGCTGGAGAGGTGCCCACAGACTGGAATTCATGGCTGGAATCCACCCTCCGTCCTCACCGATGGATTGACGGGCTGTCCATCGCAGCAGCATGTCGGCGCTATGGCCTCCATATAATCATTGTGCCCAGCACCTCTGACCCGAAAAACTTGCCGATGGTTATGGGACAACCTAGGTCTGGCCGGCCGCCCATTGTGCTTTTGCTGCATGATGGCCACTATCAACTTGCCAGATTGAAAGTTGGAAAGCAGTGGCCAAAGGCCTTTCTGGAAGCTGAAGAAGGCAGGGTTTCTTCCAAAATCTTCCGAGGAGGTGGCAAAGCTGCATCTGTCAAATCCCATAGTAGGACCAACAGTGAGTCAGACTGGCGACCTGTTCGCACACCAGAAAGTCGCTCCAATGCCTCGTGGCGACCTCAGCATACACCTACTGCAAGTCAAACAAGCAGGAGAAACAGTCAAGCCGCTGCCAGCACCAAGCACCATTGGAGGCAGCCGCACACGCCAGAAACTAAAGCCAAGATTAATGCCCAACAGCTGAGTTCCTGTGCTAGTGTCAAAGCAAGCATCCTCACTGCTGATCGCAGTAGATCACTCCGAGGTTTGACAGCTAAGTCAAAACAAAGAGGCCCGGCAAGGCAAGGGGCAAGAATTTCACCATTGACAAGTACACTTGGACATGTAATCTGTGCAAAGAAGTTTTGCGTGGAAACCATTACAAAGCAATTTCGGCGGCCCGTTTACGGCATGTTAAAAAGGTTCACCTCAAGCAGCAAAAGCAGGTCAATAAACTTCTGCGTCAGCCGGTCGAAGCTGTTGAGCCCAGTGCAGATATTCCTTTGGATCAGCGATCCTGGTCATGTCCTAAATGCAACAAAGGGTTCACTTGGCTTTCACCAAAAACTTTAAGATTGAGTCGGCACAAACATGAGCAAGAATGCTACGGTTTGACTGCCAAACAGATGCAAAAACGTTGCTACGCCCGTGAGTCGTGGCAAGCCAAACATAAGCGTACTGTGGCAAACAACGCATTGTTACTTCGCAGCCGCACTGATGTCATGCTTGTTGAATACAATGCCACAGGTCCTGGCTGTGCTTTTAGGATTCCGGACTCGCTGCATGGCAACACCTGTGCTATTTTAAGCTGCAGCACCTGCACCTTCGTTTGCCAAAAGGTTTCAGACATAATCAACCATGGTTGCCTGGGTCAAGCCGGGCGTCATTACCATATGACGCATCGCCAGCGGAAAGCTTGGTGGCACCGACATCGTGCGAACAGTCCTGAGCTCATTGGATTCCTGGTGCCAAAGTGGAAAGTCACTATGTCCGATTTGAAACATTTAGAAGCTGATTTATCCAGTGGGGGAGGTCGCCGTGGTGTCCTCCCTGCCCAGCAATGCAGCTGGTACAAAGATGTCACCCAAGATGGCGATGTGCACCCCAACCCTGGTCCATCATGCTGCCAAGTTGCCATGCTTAATTGTGGAGGCAATACCGGCGCTTGGGCCTTTGCCCGCTTCATTGCTCAAACCCGCCCTGCCGTGGCACTGGTTCAAGAACATGCCTTGCTTCCTGAGAGACAAGCTGACATGAGTAAATTCTTGAAACACGAAGGTTACCGATCGTGGTTTGCTGCCCCGGGGACCCAGAAAAATGTCCATGGCAAGGAATACACCATTGGTGGCGCTGCAGTGTGGGTTCGTCAAGATAAGCCCGCCAGGGAAATTCGCAGATTTCAAACCATCAATGGGCAAGCTATCATGATTGAACTTGATAACTTATATATCATTTGTGCTTATATTCCGTCGCATAGTCAAGAGGAAATTGCTGTTGCGCTCTCTACCCTTGATGAGTGGATCACTCCTATGGGTACCCTCCAGCCCATACTGCTTGCAGGAGATTTTAACCACCCGCCTGAACTTGCTGAAAGATGGGATGCCGTGGCCGGTAGGGGCTCCGCCTTCGGGGTCAAAAACGAAAATGGCATTTGGCTTCCCACGAGGTGGGCTGGCTCTCGGCCCATTGATTGGGGTTGGTGCTCCCACCCTCACATGGTCAAAAATACTGCTTTTCGCGACATTTGCATTTCCGACCACAAGGTGCTGAGCTGGGAACTCCACTACAACCAGAAATCTGTGCAAGCCTTCCGTAGTGTGCCCACCCGGTCGTTTGCATTGCCTGAATCAGTGCATAGGAGTGTTTGGCGCCAGGCTGTTGAAAAAGCTTGGGATCACAAGACAGTTCCCGCTCCTTCTACCACCGAAGACGAGTGGGCCAAGTTTTGCCAAATGGTTGAAGAAGCTTTTTGCCAAGCGTGCGAAGATTGCAATATGGACATGCCATCTCCTGCTAGGTTCCGAGAAAAAGGTAGCCACATGCAAGTCCATCAACGGTGCTCCGAAACTTTCCGGTTGAAGCAAGTGGCCAGTTGTCGCGAGCTGAAACTTCGCAAATTGTTAGGCAGGACCCGTGAAGCTTTGATGCAAATCCACCAAGGTCATGATATCCCTCGCCCCTTGTCCCGTAGGATTTGGTCCCACCCCTTAGTCCGTCATGTGCAGTTCCCTTCTATTGAGACCATTCACACTTGGGCAGAGCAGGAACTTTTAAGCACAGTGCGGGAGTCGCAAAATGCCAGACTTCAGAAATGGCGGCACGAGATGCGCACGGATGTCAAACTCGCTGGAAAGTGGGTCAAGAAAGACATGGCCATGCCGGCTACCTCGGTTTTTGAACCTTCTTTCCGCGCTGGAGCGGCTAGTCAGTCCAATCAAGAATCCTTGCAAACCATCCATGCTTTTTGGAAGCAAATCTGGGATCGCGAAAGACCTCACCCCGATGAAGCATTCCAATTTTGGCAACAAGGGTTAGCTCCAGGTGCGCCACTGCAGTGGGAACCACTCACTGCAGAAGAATTGCACCGCCAGGCAACAAGACAAAAAGGGGCAGCTGGCGGCTGCGATGGTTTTTGTGGAGATGACATTGCTGATTTGCCACTTGCTGCATGGCACATCTTTGCTGAACTCTTTGCCCGATGGCAAGGTCGGGCCGAAGTTCCAGAAATTTGGAAAAGCATCAAACAAGTTCACCTCCAGAAACCAGATACTAAGCCACGTGAGGCTGATGCTGCGTTTGCGGCCAAAGATTTGCGACCTATTTCAATCCAATGCGTCCTTTGGCGCACCATTGCCAGCGCTTGGTGCCGGCGCCCTGCCACTCGCACTTGGATTCTTTCTTGGATTCATAATACTGCTTTTGGGGGTATCCAAGGTCGAAGCGTGGCCCAAGCCATTGATGTTCTTTTTGAAAAAATTGAGCAAAACGGAAAGATTTTGGTGTCCCTCGACTATCAGAAGTGCTTTGATTGCGTGGACCCCAGCTTCGGTATTCAATGCCTTCGGCATTTTGGATGCCCACAGCCTATCTTAAGGTTAGTCCAATCCATTTGGCAGCAAGAGCGGTGGCTCACTTATAACGGGGAGTTTTTGCCATATAGCATTCCTGTGCATTCGTCCCTCCCCCAAGGCGATGCTTTAAGTCCCCTCACTTTGATTGCCATCATCACAGGCCTCGCAAGTAAAGTTGTTCAGGTTGACCCTAGACACACTCTAGTTACCTTTTTGGATGACCGTAACTTTATTGCCAATTCTCCGCAGCAAGCGGCGCACTTGTGGCATGAGTGGAATGCTGTGTCGGCTAGGGTGGGGTTAAGGGAAAACGAATCAAAAATCAAAATTGTCTCTAGGAAAGCTCGTTCTAGGCATCCTTTGTTGGAAGCTGGTTTCTCTGACCAGCACCTCGTTGATGCAGCAAGGGTCCTCGGAGTTGATTTTTCTGCAAGATTAGGTAGCAAGGCGGGAAAAACTCAGGACAGCCGTATCAAAGCGGCCGCCCACCGTGTTGCACGCATTGCTTTGATGCCGGTTTCTGTTGATCGTAAGGCTGGTTTAATTGCAAGTTTAGCCATTCCTAAAGCTGCATGGGGTGCATGGATCGCAGTTAAACCTCTTGCCAAATTGTTGCATCCTGTCAAACAAACGGCAGGGGGTCTGCACCGCTGTGCATCCAACCCTTTGTTTTATTTGCTGTCAGGACATGGCCTGGACGCCCAGTTCTGTGCGGGCATGCAGGCATTCAGCACCTTGGCTAGGGTGGTGAGGGAACGCCCACGGCCTTGGCCTCGACAGATCAAAAAAGGCACTTGGTTAGGTGCCGTCCAAGGGTTCTTGCAGAGCCTTGGCTGGCAAGGTCACGGACCGTGGAAATGGAGGCACGTGGACTTTCCGAGAATTTCCATTGATTTGTCCCGCAGAATTTCTAGGGATGATGTTTCAAAAGAGGAACATGTCGTGCGAGAAAGCTGGCGCCGTGTGCAGTTCTCCCGATTCATTAATAGTGGCAGAAGAGATGCTCAAGCTGTTGGTGAGCAAGCATATTCTGAATCTAGGATGACCCGTGTGAGGAAAATCTTCAAAGATCAAAACGCTCATGGTCGCGGCGTCATGATCGGAGCTATTTGCTCTGACGCCCGCTTTGACAGAATTCGAGGTTTAGATATCCAAGGTTGTGTGTGGTGTGATAGTGATGAAATTCCAAGTTGGGAACATCTCGCATGGTTTTGTAGAGGGTTTCGCCAGTCCAGATGCCGTGTGCCTCGGGATATTTTGCAATATGTGTTAGGTTGGCCTACGGGCCGAAGCAAGGATTATGACAATGCCGTCCTGGCTCATTTGGCCGGGGTGAGAGCTCGCATGCTCGAACGGCGATATCGTCCTCAGAATGTGGCCTAGTGCCTACAACTTGGTGCCAGCGTCCCATGGGCCTGTCGCCTGTGCAATTTTCAATAACTTTCGCAGCGATCAGGGCCGATGGATCGGTGGTAACTTGGGGAAGCAGCACGGGTGGCGGTGATAGCAGGAATGTTCAACATCAACTGTGCCATGTCAAGCAGATTCAAGCTTCTTTGTTTGCCTTTGCTGCCATCCGGGCAGATGGATCGGTTGTGGCCTGGGGGGATCCAGCTTGTGGTGGTGACAGTCGTGTGGTTCAGCATCAACTCTTCGATGTTCGACACATCCAAGCCTCTTTGGACATCTTGGGATTTCGCAATCCTCAGGGCTTTGAGGGCGCCTTTGCTGCGATCCGTGGAGATGGAAGTGTGGTTGCGTGGGGCAGCGCAGAATGTGGCGGAGACTGCAGTAGTGTTCAAGATCGCCTCAAGAATGTAGAGCGGATTCAGCAGTCAGGGCGAGCTTTTGCTGCAATTCTTTCGGATGGTACAGTGGTGACATGGGGTGATCCCAAGCACGGTGGAGACAGCTCTCTAGTTCAAGAGCAGCTCCACAATGTTACGCATATTCAGGCCACAGTGGGAGCCTTTGCAGCCCTTCTGTCAGATCGCGCTGTGGTCACATGGGGTGATCCTAGCAGAGGGGGTGACAGTGGCAAAATCCAGCATCGACTGCGTGATGTGCAAGAGATTCACGCATCCGTGAGATCATTCGCTGCTGTGCTTGCAGATGGAACAGTGGTGTCATGGGGTGATGATGACTATGTTGGGGCCATGTCTGTGAAACCTGATTTGAGCTTCGCCTGCTGTAGGATTCTGTAGGAGCAAGGCTGCACTAGTGAGACCTGCCGTAAAAAGAGTTCTGGCTCACATGGGCAGGTTGATGGGTCCACGCATTTTTTGTGAACAAAACAGCCACACCACAGACCACGCACCAAACCACATCAAGAATGTTTCATCCCTCCCAAAATCAGGCTCCCAAAATCCGGCTCCCAAAATCCGGCTCCGGACCTGTATCATGCGGGTAAGCTATCCTCTGGGTACGGGTCACATGGTTTCAAATGGTTCATGCCCAGCGACTTGCAGTATTCAACTATATCCAAGATATCCATACATATCCATATTTGTAATAGTTTGGCAATAGTAATATCTCACATTATCTCAAGATATCTAATTTTGTTGGTATATCTTGTAATAGATATAGTTGTTAAATGTTATTAACAATTGTAATATCTGAATTTTGTTGGTTTTATTCCCCATCCTCAGTGCGCCGTGAAACATCCCAGGTCATAGGCCGCAATGGCCGCACTTTAAGAGAGATTGAAAACAGGACGCATGCGGCGGCTGGGTGTTTCTCAGAAAATGTTGGTTCGGATTCGGATTTTTGAAAACATGGATAGCAGATGATAGCAGATGATGGTAGATGATAGTAGATGATAGTAGACACCAGTTTCAATCCATTCGCTTAAACGATCTTAAATGCCTTCCTTCCTTCCGTCTGCGTGTTGCGCTTGCTTGGTCACGCATCCGTTTTTTTTTCCCGTATAATTTCATGTTGGTTGTTTTGGCCCTGCCAAGGGTAGCACTAATTCTCATCGTGTATCCTGGTAAGCTAATCCGGCAATGGAAATTCCACAGTTCTACGGTATACGTTTATACTCATTCTTGTCAATGATGTTCCCATGCGGATTTTCCTTGCCAGGTCAAATTACGGCAGGGTATTCAAGGGGTGTGCCGCACCTAACCCCAGAGATGCTTTTGGCCCGCGGCGCAGGACCAATACGAGAATCCAGGTGTCCAAAGAAGAAGATATGCTTCCTGTCTCTTGGACGCCATTTACAGGAAACCATATTCACACACGGAACCAACGGCATGAAACATAGATTATCGCCTTGCTGCATGGGGACGTATGGAGAATTCCTAGATGCAAAATGAAAGGGTGCTTTCTGTGACTTGCAAGGCGTTCCATGTTTCTGAGAAGGGATTCTTCACTAGTCATTTGCACCTGGTGCCACGACGGCATTTATCATGACAAATCCTTCAGCATGTATGGGAAGGTGCCAAGGCATTGAATTTCCCAAACCTGCTGAGATTGAGGAGCTGCCCGACTTGAGGTTTCACTTTAACCACCCCCTTTCGGTGCAACCCATGACCAGACATGACCAGACATTTGTTAATGTGAAGTGGTGAGCCACAAATCCTCATGGTGAAATATTTGGAACCAGTTCTACTCAGGAACCATCGTTGATGGATACACTATATACACATTAAATCGTTGACGCACTTCCCATTTTCGCAGCTTCTGCCTTTGTTGGTTTATAGTCACATAGTCAACCAGGTGAAAACCCTCCCAGGCGAAGTCTGACAGTTGGAGTTGGTTGCCGTTCAACCTGCCCCTCCTTGACGCTGCATTTCCACTAACAGTTAGTGGGCCACTAACTTTAGTGGGTTAGCTTTCACCATAGTTGTACGGATTATATTTCATCTGATGAAGCTTGGAATCCCACAGTTATACCCATGAGAACCACCCCAGTGCTGCACCCCAGGTAATATTATTGTATATTATTGTTGGTTATAAATTATATAAATAATATTTAATATTATATCTGATATATATATATAATATAATATAATATAATATAATATAATATGTATATAATATATAATATATGATATATGATATATAATATATTATATATAATATAGAATATATAATATATAATATTTAATATATAATATATAAGATATAAGATATAATATTTAATATACATTATATAATATATATATATAATATAATATATTATATATAAAAAATAATATTTAATATATAATTATTATTTATTTTTTATGATATTTATTATATTATATATTAAATAATATATGTATATATATATATCCCATTCAATGCTTATTGTGCTGTTTGTGTTTATTAAGGTCAAGTGCTAGGCATATTTGTACAACCATACGTAGTTGTAGGGATTGTATCCCATCTTATGAAGCTTAGAATGCCATAATAACCATAGTTAGACCCAAAAAAGGTTAATACCATAGTAACCATAGTAATACCTGAGTTTACCATAGTATGTCCCAGTCCAACCCCAAGCATCATCCAGCATCCCAGGAAACCAAAGAGCGGTCCGTGGACATCAGCGGGAGTCGACGAGATCAAGAAGATGCCATTGAGATGATGTTGGAGAAGGTTCTCTATTGCCGCAGCTCAACCGCAAGAGAAAAAAGGACAAGTCTGGGACGTAAAAAATCAGCAGTGTTGATTCAGTGTTTTTTTGTTTTTATGGGTATATACTATATCCCATAGGAATACTTACTACTCAAACAGTATAATGGGATGGCCCGAATCCGTTAGGGGCCCGTGGAGTCCGTGAGTCCGTGGGGTCCGTGTGTCCTTTGGGCATTGATTGGCCCTATCCCCCCCAGAGCGGGAGTTTTGGTTGGAGTTTTTCTTTGTTGTTTGATAATCCTTGATCATATATCATCATCAGAAGAGCAGAGGAGCAGAGCAGAGAGCAGGAGAGAAGCAGAGAGAAGCAGGAGAGCAGCAGAGAGAGCAGATAGCAGAAGGAGAGCAGCAGAGAGCACAGAGAGCAGCGAGAGCAGGCAGGAGAGCAGCAGAGATGCAGCAGAGGAGCAGGAGTAGCAGCTGAGAGCAGCAAGAGCAAGGCAGAGAGCAGCAGAGGAAGGCAGAGGGAGGGGGCAGAGAGCAGGGCAGAGGCAGAAAAGAGAGAAGGGAAGGAGGAGAGGGAAGAGAGAAAGAAGGAGAGAAGGAAAAGAGAAGGAAGAGAGGAGACGAGAGAAGAGAGAGAAGAAGAGAGAAGCAGAGAGAAGAAGAAGGGAAGAAGAGAGAAGAAGAGAGGAAGGAAGAGGAAGAAGAGAGAAGAAGAGAGAAGAAGAGAGAAGAAGAGAGAAGAAGAGAGAAGAGAGAGAGAGAAGGAGAGAAGAAGAGAGAAGAAGAGAGCAAGCAGAGAAAGAAGAGAGGAAGCAGAGTGGAAGGAAGAGAGAAGCAGAAGAGCAGCAGAGAGCAGGGCAGGGAGGGCAGCGAGAGCAAGAAGAGAGCAGGAAGAGTGGGCAGGCAGAGGGCAGCAGAGAGCAGCAGAGAGCAGCAGAGGGCAGGCAGAGAGCAGCAGAGAGCAGCAGGAGGCAGCAGCGAGCAGGCAGAGAGCAGCAGAGAGGCAGCAGAGACAGCAGAGAGCAGCAGGAGAGCAGGAAGAGAGCAGCAGGAGCAGCAGAGAGCAGGCAGAGAGCAGCAGAGAGCAGGCATAGAGCATGCAGAGAGCAGCAGAGAGCAGCATAGAGCAGCAGAGGCAGCAAAGGCATGCAGAGAGACACGGACCGACCATAGTGTAGGCAGTTCATGGAGAGCAGGGCAGAGAGCACTAGCAGAAGCAGCAGAGAGCAGCAGAGAGGAGCAGAGAGCAGCAGAGAGAAGTAATATGGATAATAAGATAATAATAGATCATGTAAGATGGAGAAGATAGAAGTCAGAGATCAGAATATATGTCATAAGATATCATTAAGATATAATCATTATATCATAATAATAATCATATATCATCATATTGTCATATATGTATTTCATAATATCATCTAGAGAATAATATATCATAATATATTAATTCATATATCATCATATATCATCATATTATCATCAAATATCATCAGTATATCATCATTATTCATCATATCATTCATATATCATCATATATCATCATATATCATCATATATCATCATATATCATCATATATCATCATATATCATCATATATCATCATATATCATCATATATCATCATATGTCATCATATGTCATCATATATCAGCATATATCATCATATATCATCATATATTCATGTTGTTGGTTGATGGGAGGTCTCCTCTCATTTGTTTAGCATGGGTTTGTCTATATGTTTGGGTGTTCAGCCAGCAAAAAAGATGGTGTATCGCCAACAAACATGGTGAACCAACTCGCAACCAAGGTGTTGCTCAAGCACCCCAAATGGAAAGATCACCAACAGGTATTGGAAGATAACGGGATAAAACCAGAGGGAAAGAGTAGGGCCCACAATAGTAGATTGGGGGTTCAATGAACATGGAGGTGTTTCACCACTTTTTTTTCTGGATTTTGACCAATAGTTGTCGACATATCTGCGCGGTTTTGGGCATTGCAGATTTGCCCTTCACTATATCGTTGTCCAATAAGTGGAAGCAACTATTTGTTTGTTACTTGTAGGGTATAATGAATGACCCGCCATAACAAAAAGAAGGGCAACTTTTTGGCGGGGAAAGAACTGGGAAATCCGTTTTGACCTCCAGAAATCGATAATGCCCCCACTGCAGCAATGTGACCGTTCAGAATTTTGTTGCTAACTCAATGGTAAGGTGGTAAGGATATCTTTGATAGTGGCCAGCATCAGAGATGTCCGAGGTGAAGATGAAGGTGAAGTGATCAAAGACATGCGAACCGCCCGAGAAGAGTCCAAAGGGGGCGACCTGCAGCGGGTCATCACCGTTCTGCCTGAGGTCGAACGGGCGTTCCCACGTTCGACCAATTGCATGCTGATTTGCGCCTCACTTCAGCCGCTCAAAATTATGACTAAGATGAATGTTTTCTTTTATGCGTGTGATGAATGAAATGATATGCCACGATCCACCCCCGGGCGACCCCCGGGCTGGTGGGGCAGTTTAGTTTGCAGATTGAACGACTGAGTTTTGGTGAGCAACCTGCTTGAGAGAGGGACAGAGAGAGAGGGAGAGAGAGAGAGAGAGATCCATCCCAAATACCGTAGCCCAAAAACTGCCTTGTTATTCGGATCCCAACATAGTCATTCTTGGTAATTCTGTCAACATTCACATACTTAGACCTTGGGAATCTTGGGATGGATGGATGAAAGCTGAAGTGTAGCATGTTGAAATTAAAACCATTCAATTCCCATTGCTCAGATCCCTCAGCTCTCCACTTTTGCAGGTTGATGGTTCGATCATGTTCAATCCCATTTTTGATGCTTCAATCATGATGTTATATTATGTTCCACCATTTTTGAGGCTTAAATATGGTTGAACCCACTGATTTTGCGGTAGAAGTTTTGAGACCTACGGGCTTCATCCCTTCATCCGTTGGCTCGTTGGCTTCGTCCGCCAGGAAGTCGGCAAAGTCCTGGGTCGAAAGGGTGAGACCGTGCGGGTCATCGAACGAGACTCCGGGGCCAAGGTGGAACTGAACAAAGCGGAAGGAAAGGTGGAGATCTTTGGCCACTTGGAGCAGATTGGGAAAGGTTGATGGATGGATCTAGGGGATCTAAGCAACAATAATGCTAATAATGCTGAACTATGAACTAAGAATCTTGGTTAAATGTGAAGCAACAATGAGCAAGAATGATTAATGGTTGATTTAAGGGAGTTGCAGCAAATGAGGAGATGACTCATATGACCAGGTTATCCCTGTGATCAGGTAGCTGGGACGATGGTTAATGGCTACGGGGATCTTTGGCCACTTGCCTCACTTGACATTCTTGACAGATTTTCAGATAGTTAAAGACTTTAAAGACTGGAGGCCCAAAGGGATTCAAACGACTTTAAGAGTCAGTTGGCTCCCCATGAATGTGGGAGATTCTTGTTGGGGCCACTTGATAGGCTTCAGCCCGCTTCAGCGACAAAAGGTTCACCATAAACAATTAGATTATGGTCGGAAGCTCAAGAAGGGAATACTGGAGAAATTAGATGAGTTCGTGCTGGGCATATGGGGGTTTCCGATGGTTTCCTAAAATGGGGATACCCCCAAATCAATGTTAATAGGCTTTTCATGGATTTTCCATTATAAACCATCCAGCTATTGGGGTAATTACACCGATTTTAGGAAACCTCCGTGTAATCCTTCAGCTCCCCTTACTTGCTCTATCGAGGTAAGAAAGAAGAGCAGGACAAGGCTGTGGAGCTGCTTCTGGCTGAGGTGCACTTTGCGAAAGAGCCTCGGGAAAAGCCATGAGGATTCACTCTGTAAACAATGCTGTGTGTTTGAGCTTTGAAATCTGAAGATGTTGGCGTTTTTTCGCAACAAAGAGGGGGGCGGCTTGCTGGTTTTGAGATGTCAACCAATGGTTAGTTGGGTTCATATAAGGGGCCCACAAATGTAGGAAGCCCACAATTGGAGTGGTGAGAGTCTTTGGACCCGAAGTTTGACACCTACTTGGTGGTTCCGGTTTACCATGTCGGATCTTACTGGGGTATCTCGCGAAATATCTCTCTAGAATTGAATCTATGGAAGAGCAGGGACAAGGCTCTTATGTTAGTATGTCGTATTATTGGACCTTATTAACTCTATATTAATCTATACTCATCTGTATTGATCTATATTAGTCTATATTAACCTCTTGGATCTATACTATTATATATTAGTGTATATATATATATATTAGTGTATATCTCTATATTTAACCAACACTAATTCACACTATGTCGCAACACTATATTTCTTGGACCAAACGGCTAGAATTTTCGGTTCAAGACTCTGCGGAGGTGATTTAAGTCTGGAGCTCATGCGGGGCCAATCGGTGAGCACTGAATGTTTAATGGACTATCCATAAATGGGGGGAGATACTCAATACCCATGGGGGGATTTACAAGCCCATATCATACTTTTCCCAAAAAACAATGGATATTCATGATATGATTCACATGAAATTAGGATGAGCTCTGTGGCTTGTCTCAATGTTTCTCTTGCCTATCCTTTTTTTTTCCCCCACAACAAAGGGCTCATGCAACTTTTCCACCCGAGTCAACCTATAGCGCGTTTCAAGAAGAGGGGCAGCGAATTTGATACTAATGATTCCTACTGTGGATGGAAGAAATCCTGCACCACTTTGGATGGTTGAACCCTTATAACTTATAAATACTCTGTAAATAATTGGATAAACCACCTATCAACTGGTGCAGGATTTCTTCCATCCACGGTAGTACATCACACATCTAAGCCAAAGAATACTAATTATCATTACATGTATACATCATTTGACAACTATTGGCTGGGCATAACAAATTTTACCAAGGACGCCGAGGGCAACGTTTTGAAAGACGAGCCGCGGCCAAAGCAACGCACAGAGAACGCACCTCGGCTGGCTTCAATGTGAGAAGGACGAGGCACAGCAGCGGAGAAAACTGGAGTAATCTAGCTACATATCCTAATTATCTGTTATATATTTACAACATAATAGTACATACTAAAAACATGTCCGACATTTAGCCAAACATATATTATTAAGTATATTATGTATATTATGTACCTTAAATTGTATATTATGTAAATTATGTATGTCATGTATGTTATGTATGTCATGTATGTTATGTATGTTATGTATGTTACGTATACTATGTTTGTTATGTATATGTATATGATTATGTATATGTAATACATGCTATACATAATATGCATAATATACATACATACATACATACATACATACATACATACATACATACATACATACATACATACATACATACATACATACATACATACATACATACATACATACATACATACATACATACAACATACATACAACATACATACATACATACATACATACATACATACATACATACATACATACATACATACATACATACATACATACATACATACATACATACATACATACATACATACTACATACATACATACATACATACATACATACATACATACATACATACATACATACATACATACATACATACATACATACATACATACATACATACATACATATATACATACATACATACATACATACATACATACATACATACATAGAAAATATGCATAATATGCATAACATGCATAATATGCATAATATGCAAATTATGCATAATATGCATAATATGCATAATATACATAATATACATACATACATGCATGCATGCATACATACATACATACAGACAGACAGACATACATACATACAGACACACACACAGACATACGTACATACATGCATACATGCATACATGCATACATGCATACATGCATGCATGCATACATGCATACATGCATACATGCATACATGCATACATGCATACATGCATACATGCATACATGCATACATGCATGCATACATACATACATACATACATGCATACATGCATACATGCATACATGCAGACAGACAGACATACATACATACAGACACACACACAGACATACGTACATACATGCATACATGCATACACGCATACATGCATACATGCATACATGCATACATGCATACATGCATACATGCATACATGCATACATGCATACATGCCTACATGCATACATGCATACATGCATACATGCATACATGCATACATGCATACATGCATACATGCATACATGCATACATGCATACATGCATACATGCATACATGCCTACATGCATACATGCATACATGCATACATGCATACATGCATACATGCATACATGCATACATGCATACGTACATACGTACGTACGTACGTACGTACGTACATACATACATACATACATACACACACACACTTACATATGTATGTATGTATGTATGTATGTATGTATATATATATATACGTAGGTATACATTGACCCACTATGGCTAAAGGCTATAGTCCATATATAACCCCCTGCCTCGAGGAACCGGAGCTGCCGCCTCCCTTGAAGTTCTGGGTAAAGGACCGGGAGGCTGGGAAGGTCATCGGCCGCGGCGGCGAGACGGTGCGCGAGGTCATGGAGAAGCGCCTGGGTGCTGGGAAAAATGAGGCTTTGATTGGGGGAAAGTGGTGGTTTTAGTAGGGAAAATAGGGATTGAACTGAGGAAAATGGTGGTTTTAGTCGGGAAAATGGTGATTTACTGTGGAATTTGGAGATTTTACTAGGGAAAATGGGTATTTTATAGCATTTAGTGGAGTTTAATGGAAAAAAAATGTACGGGAAACCCAATAATACTAGTAAACTTGTAAACCCAATTTAAGATATTTAAGGGGATGGTCCATACTACCACCGATTGATGTTGATGTTGATTGTATAATATATTTAAACATTGAACCGGAACCTGAACAAACAACTGCTTGGACGGAATATGGTAAAATAGAACATTTCTTGTTTGATTCTTGAACGTCGGGTAACCTCCGAAAACAATAAAACTCAGCTGTTATCACAGAAACCCAATGAAGACCCAGGGAAGACTTCCCCAAGGGTTGGCTCAAGGTCTGGATCTGATATCAAAGTTCAGAAGGCGGATGAAATGACACCAGGCGAGGCGGGGGAAAAACCAGCATGACATAAAGTGGGATTCACCGGCCATAAAACTCATAGCATTTTTAAAGGTGGATGCTTTCAATGCCTCAATGATGATGACTTGGGGATGGTATAGGATGTCTATGGTTTAGGCTTTACCACATTCCAGATATTGTATTTCCCGATCATAAACCAAATATGATTCCAAATGATATTAAATGGTTCAAACTATCCAATTATAAACCAAGCAATTCTGATTCTAATTGTTTAATGTGGGTAAAACAATGCCATAAACCATCCCCCAGTCATCACCATTTTTATAGGTGGTATAAACCCTTCCCACATGGGTGGTTTATTCTTGTTTCACCCGCATCAATCATCATTCCATGGATATTCCATAGATATTCCATAGATATTGCAGTATAACCATTATCATAATCCCATATAAAATCCCACATTATACGGTTTACACCATAGCTCTCCGCTGTTCCGTTGCCCGCGCGGCCCGCAGGTACCAAGGAGCGTTTGATCAAAGTCATTGGGACCAAGGCGATTTGCGGTGAAGCGGCAGCGTGGCGATTTCTTCCACTCGGTTTCCACGAATGGCCACCCTACACCTTTGATGTAATGTTATATAGTTATCAATGTTATATAGTTATATAATGTACTACTTGTATAGTTATATAGACACTTATAGTTATAGAGATTAGAGTTCTATCATGTTTTTCTGTATATTTCTACGGCCACAGCTTGTGCCCGTGCTGCTGTGAGGAGCAGCAAGACGCAGCTCTGCAATTGATCTTGGAGGAGGTTACTTGGGCCAAAGGCGTCGACGGAATGCTAAAAGGCAGCTGGGGGTCTCTGGGAGGGTTTTGTGCGGAGAAAAGTAGTGCGGAAGTGAGTTACGCATAAATCGAAGAATATTCATGACTTGAGCGAATCCAAGTAACTTAGCCAAACTTGTTTTTTGGGGATGGGAGGCTAAACCACCTGCCGACCACCGCCCAGCTGCTTGGTTCGTGCAGGCACAGCTCCTGAAGCCACAGGTGAAAAGCCTGAGGCACCGGAGCCTGTCGCGGAGAAAGAAGGCACACAGACCTGGCCCCATCCGAAAGGGGAGATCTCACGCCTACATCATGGTTGTTTGATGATAAACAAATATGGTACTCATTGATCCAAGTATATCCAAGTGGTTTGATGGGTGTAATGGACGAACCCAATATGAGAAGCCTCAAAAAACCAGCAGAGGTGAACTTCACAGACCTCTCTCAGGTTGGGCCTTGAAAACAATGGCCATGGGCCTATAGATCTTGGTCTTGACATTTCTTTAAGGGTAGCCAGGTGGTTGGGTGGTTGAGCAATCCATTTGAGGCACCCAATTTTTGCTACACACAACTCCAGCTGTCTGGCCACGAGTTGATTAGAATCAGGCGGTGAACAACCTGAAGCCAAGAATTCCCGTCGCGAGAAGAAAAAAGGCGGGGCTTCAGCTGATATTCTGAGGCTGTCCTAAAACGTCCAAAAATCCCAAAAAAAAATTACTGCATGTTGATTTTCAATGGGGCAACCAATGGTTTGAGGTCCCCCAATTTTGCAACGTCCAATATTTAGTCAGGAAACGGAAGGTTTTTCTGGTTTACCTTCGTAGATTTTTCAGTGGAAACCATTGGTTTTCAATATCTATGTTGAATTCCTGGAGGGTAAGCCCGATGATTTAATTTGAACCATTCTTTGCACTAGGTGGCTGGTCAATAACAGCATTTTTCACAAACACCTCCATCCAGATTTAAGGGCTGATGCTCCAAGTCAACTTTAGAAAAAGCCTCGCCTCTGGGTGTCATCAAACGTGGCTGGAAAATCCTCGCACCTTCCAGGTGATGGAGACACGACCAAGCCTCGAAGGTTTCGGGAAACGGCACGTGAACTAAACCGACCCAAAAGCGGTCCAGTACTTGGGCCCAACGACACGAAGTTTTTTTTTGGGGGGGATCTGTTTGGGTGTAAAGTCAAGCTTTCTTTTTTGATTTAACACCCCAAGAATGGGATAGAACCAATAAAAACACATGGAATATAATGGGATACAATAGGATACTTTATGGGAAATATGCGACCAAGAATATGATATGGGTTCTTCCACAAATGATGGATTTGCCCTCAATATATGGGGGCAATGATGATAATTAAACCATTGCCATAGACTATAGACTTCCAGGGCGCCCAATTTTCAGATAAACACATTTTGCCCGGAAAAAACATACTGGTGACTGGTAAGTTCTCGGCAGTGAATTCTTGGCCATAAATGGGGGATTTTGTCATACCCAACTGAACATGCACCTTTTTTGAATTTCTGGGTGCGCTGCGTGTACCTTGCTGATGGCCACAGATGGTCCGCAGATAGACTGGCCACTTAATATTCTCGTGCAGGAGCACTATTGGGAAACTAGGAAATTGGGGATCCAGAGCAATAAACCATTCCCTTTTTTGTTGTTTATCCTTCTGTATAGCCCTTCTGAGGGATGATTTACAATAGCCCCTTGAATAGTTGATGGGATGGTTTACCATTGCGGATCCTTGATCTATGATCCCCAAGCCTGGGAGATGACACTGTGCGAGCCAAGGCCCGTTGGGTCTGCGCAACTTGCGGTGGAGACCACCGCATGAAGGAATGTCCTCATGCTACAGGCGGAAATTTTGGGGCTGGAGTGCCACTTGGCAGCAAAATTCAGCTGCAACCCTTATTTTTGTTCTGAATGTTCTGACTCGTGCCCGTCGTGCTTTAATTCAACATGTATTTTGGGGCAGGGTTCCAACCCTGCTGACTTGACGGGGATCTTCAAGGCGTCATCTCTAGAGGTTTCAACGGTTTCACCCCTCAGAAGGATCTCTGGAAAATCCATAGATTGTCACAGCGGGCCGCGTCAAGTTTGACCTGACCTGAGTGGATGCTAGTAACTTTAGTGGTTTCATAAGGAGGTACGAATGGTCAGTCAGGTGGATGGAGATACAGTATGGTGAAAAGTGACGAATAGCTTGATCGAAGAACTTCAGAGGCAAACATCGAAACATCCATGGCTGTTTCGTGCTGTTTCCATATCACCAGGCATCGCCCAACCTGAGGCAAATGGGGATGCAGATGGGCCTTCAAGCAATGGGCCCCTTGGCCGATCACTGGATAGCCGTCTTCTTTTCGTGGCCAACGGGTAGATCTTGTAGGGCGATGGCTTAGTTTCCATAAAAAGCTCCATTTACAGAGGATTTTCCACTGCCAAGTTTGATTACCAGAGGTTAATATTGAAACATCACCAGTGGCTCCACTGGTACCAAGGCTTGGGAGGTCCGGGGATGCCTCCCATGCCGCCACTGGGCCCCGGCATGCCGCCGATGCCGGGCATGCCGCCGGGCATGCCACCGGGCATGCCACCGGGGATGCCTCCGGGCATGCCGCCGATGCCGGGCATGCCGCCGGGCATGCCAGGGATGCCGCCATTGCCGGGGTTGCCCATGTTGCCCGGGATGAAGATGCCAGGACGGATGGTTGAAGCTTTCCCAAACAGCCAGAATTGGATGAAATATGATGAAATAGTAAAATTACCCTGGTTGGTTGTAGATTCCTTTAAGTGAATCCTTTGGTGGCTCAGAATCCGGCGGCCACCAGGGGATTTACATTTTTGTACTGCATTGTACTGCCATTGTTGGGACATGAACCATCCAATGAATTTTGGGTACCGAACCGCTTGACCCATATCCATTTTTGGAGTGTTACCCACCAAGTGCAATTTGCAGCGCTGATTGTATCTCCGGGGTTGAATTGTTTTGTTTTCTGCCATTGCGTACAGCAGACCCTGATGTCAGATGCACTTCGTTCTTGTTCCAGTTCTGTGGACGCATGAATATTTTGAGGTCGATTTTGAGTGCAAACTGCCATAAACTGCCTTGAACTACCCCTTGGGCTCAGCATTTTTTTCCGCGTGTTGTCTTTTGGAAAAAGATGGTCACAGTTTTTTTCGGAGCCAGGAATGCCTTCCAGTGGTAGCTCCGAAACGTCCAGCTCAGAGGCCACGGCAACACGGGACGAAGGTGAGTGAGTCCATGGACATCAGCCATAGCTAACTCGAGTAATATGTTAGCATACGTTAGTGGATTATGATATGAATTGATTTGAACTGATTAGTCATATGTTAGTTGTTAGTAGTAATGAATCGATTTGAATTTTAATGTATACCTGTTCTTTTGCTTTGGTACCCAAGGAATATTTATAAACATTTGTCGTTGCTTGGTCGCCAGTAGATGGTTCACCCAGAGCTCCATTATGAGTTAAGTTTACAAAACAGGGGAGCCTGGGATGGGTCCAAGTTGGTGCTTCAGAGTTAAACAGCAGTTAATACTTGTCAATACCAATCCGTATTCTTGATTGTTAAAACCTGGGTTTTTGTAGTTAAATCCAAAGCCTCCTTGTTGATGGTAGAACCATATTTTCACAATTTTTGATCATTGATTCCCACATGTTTGATGATTCAATCCCCATTTTGGATGGTAAAAAGATGCTAGTAAAGCAATTTTAAACAATCCTCAATTTAACAATTTTTATAGATGGTATAAATTAGGTGTAAACCATCATAATATGGGTGGTTTATGGCATTGCTTTATTGATTTTTCATGATCCACCATTTTTGATAGTGAAACCATTGATTTTTCATGGTAAACGACTCTTTTTTGTTGGTAAAAACAGGTTTTGATGGTGAAACCACCATTCTTGATGGTAAAAATCCATTATTTTTGTTAGTAACACCACCATTCTTGATGGTAAACCACAGATTTTTGCTGGGAAATATAGTAAAGCCATTGATTTTCCATAGGAAATCTGCCATTCTTGATGATAAAACGCAGTAAAACCGCAGATTTTTGGTGATTTCTCCGGAGGAGGACGAGCCCATGGACCGCGCGCCCCGGGAACCCCAGCGCCGCCGCGTGCGTCGTGTGCTGCGCCGGCGGCGCTCGGGCGACGGCCACGACGGCCGCGAGGGCCACGAGGGCGAAGCGCCGAGGAAGAAGATCGATGCTTGGCGAAGAGGGTGAAAGATACACTGAGAATTGAGAATGTGTATGATTTTTTTTTTTGATATTGATATATTGTATCAAGATATAGATTAGGATATATTGAATATGATATATATACATATATATATATATTATATAGATGATATATGTATATAGTTATAATGTGCACATATATGTATAATATGATATTACTGGGATGCCTGTAGGAGATATGGGATATATAGTTATGTGTATTAGACATGTAATGTGTGGTGCTATATCGCCATGTGTGGTACTATATCGCAATGTGTGGATGATGTGTGGATGATGTGTGGATGGATCAACACCGGTTATATTACAAACATATATATATATATTCATATATATATATATATGCCTATATATATATATATACACATACACATGCATATATATATATATATATATACATTATCACACCATATGAACCATTTTGGGTGAACAGAAGGGTGCTGATCTGGTCTTGACCCAAAACCATATGAAGAAACATGGGATACGGGAGATGGATACACAAAATGTATATTTGTCATATGTACGCAAGTATCCTAAGATCAGACAGGGCAATAATATATATATATATATTCTAACTCAATGATGTACCTTCCTGTAAACTATAGCATGTTAATAACATTATTTATCACATCTTGGTATGGAATCAGGCAGTCAATGGCAGTCCAATGGTCTTGCTTTGGTCTTGGTACCACAATACAGCGAAACTGATTTTTAATTCTACAGTTTGGCGCATGAAAACATCCTGATCGGATCATGAAACTGTATTCCTTGGAAGAGTCCACATCATTTCAGACACTGCAGATTCTTTTTGCCTGGTGCAAGGATGTTGATTGACTGGTTGGCTGGGCAGGGTGATTTCAAGGTGAGTACGGAGGTCCCTTAAATACTGTAGCTGTAAAGTGTCAGCGACAAGGAATGTGATATAGTAAACATGACTATATTGTTGCAACTTGCCGACTTTACCACGGTTTTGAGATTGGATAGCCTGTCTGTGTTCCATCATGTTCCATCTCTATCCATGGCATGACGATAATCGGCCCTCAACCTGGGACCTTGGTTGCTTGAACCCACCAGCATCCAACCAGCAGCAGGGGCTTCAATCCAGATTGCTTCTGGATTTCTGTAAAACTGAGGTCATGTCCGATTTGTAGCAGAACTCGGGACTTGCGTTTCACGTAGCCAGGTTTTCTATGAGAGGAGGGAGAAGGGTTGGGCCACAAAAACCCAATTAAGTTGACACAGAACTCTGTGAGAATTTTCGAACTTACCAATCTTTCCCAATTTTTTGTTCAATCTTGGCCCAACCCTGGTGACAAGATGTGACAAGTTTCAGCCACAGGGTCAAAAAAAAAATTATGTTTGCTGCCAGGATCCGTTGGGCTTGTGACTTGGGAATGGAGACTCCTGGAGATAACAGGTGCATAGACTTCAATAGACTTCACCGTGTCTCATACCGTCCGTCTATGGTACCTTTCGGTAATCGAACTTGGAAATCAATCTCCTAAAATGGAGATGTTGATGGGAAAATCATCTATAAACAGGGAATTGTCCATTGTATTCCATTGCCATGTTTGACCTCCGAAAGGTCTATGATTTCAAATTATATCCAATGCTTAGTTTTCAAATATGCTTAGTATGAGCGTTGAATGGCTCAAATTGTTCGGCGAATCGAGTAGAGGAGCTCTTGCCGAGCATCCACCGCACAAGAGATGGCAATCAACCTGCAAAAGGTTTCGTTCATGTAGACATTTGACATTTACAATCATGTTTCCAGTAGATACATGCTCTTGAATCTCCTCGACCCAATCACCAACGAAATTTGTACCTCCAGCAGGATCGTATTATATGCCTATTTAATCCCAGTAACTAGACTCCTATTTGTTCAGCGGTTTCCGCTACAAGGAGACAGCTTTGCCACGGGTGATGTGGTCGGGTCGAGCACCGATCCTTCTCGAGGAGTTTGAGGAAAGTTTTCTGGCACGTGGGGAGCTCAGTACCCGAGGCTGGGAAGATCTTCTCAAAAAACCAGACCTATTGAGTCATGGAAGTTCCATTGAACAAATATTCATGTGTTTTTTCAAACAAAGACTCCTATGTAATGAACCATGAAACTTCTTTTTTTATGCGTCGTGCCAGTTTTTTCAGTTTTAAGCAACAGACAAGTTTCTTTTGTCTTTGCTTCCCACTACGTAAGCATGGGGTACCGTATCACAGTAGCTGAGATTCTGGAACAAGGGTCTCGAGACTTCTTGGGTGTTGGAAACAGAATTTGAATCTTAATCAACGCTGATGTTTGAGGACAGATGTTGGGAACCCCGCAGAAAATCTAATTTTGAGAATTTCAAACATCCTGTCTCAGATGGTTGATGCATATGTTATGCGGAATGAGTGTGTGATGTTCAATTTGGACATTTCGCTGCCTCTGTGGTGAATCAATCTAAAACATACTGCATGCGAGCAATGCTGTTCAGTGCTTAGATGCTCTGCCGAACCTCGCATGATTGGTTTAAGAGAAACAACAACGCGCGGCAGGTGCAGAAAATCGAGTGCATTATCCTTTGCTGAAGGTCGTGCTGAAGGAGAAGAGGCTGTCCCATTGGTCGGCGGCGAGATGTTCATGACCGGTAGTAGTGGGCTGCACTTTGACAGTTGCTCTCATGGTTATGCATCCCTGTGGATGCTGTAAGGTGGGCAAAGGGTTGCACTGTCTACCTTGCTTGAAAACAAAGAAGATGGTGATGAATTCATGCCATGTTGCTGTGCTTTTCATACACGATTTGACATGCACGTGATGTATTGCTTACATATGAGAAAGTACTGTAACCAGAAGCACTGTGGAATGAATTGATTTTATGTTCTAGTGGACCTGGCTGAGCACTTGCCTTTTTAGAATCCCATTAATTCCAATTAAATCCCATGGAAAATCACCATTCAATCGCTGGTGAAATCCCCGGTTTTCACAGCAGTTTCAGCAACTGTCCGAGGCGTTTGGGTGCCTTGAAGGCATTGCCACGGCTGCTGGCATGGCACGCTATACTCTTTGAGGCAGGAGTTGGCTCAGCTGCGAAGTCCCATAAATCACGCGGAATCTATGAGAATCTTCACGAAATATAGAGATTATATGAGATTATCGCAATGATTATTTCTTTGGACATTTGCATATTGTAGAAATGGCCATAAAAAGTATTCCCTATTATATAGATTAGGATAGATTAGGGACAAAACACAGGAATGAACTCATGGCTCCAAACATGGCTGGATTTAATAGATGTGTGAATCTTGGGAAACATGCATTAATTTACGATTTCATTGAATTTCATTCAATTTCATGCCACAACCAGAGATCTTTGTGATTTGTGTTCACATGGGGTTGGGTCAAAACCTATTATTACGTACTTGCTGATTTTGATGTTGAGGAGTCCAGTTGTGTTGTTGTCTTGTTGGCCCCCTCTTTTCTCTAATATATGATATATTTAATTTTATATATAATATATAGATAATTTAATATATATATATGATATATATATATATTTTACATATATATATATGATATATATATATGATATATATATATATATGATATATATAATATATATATATATCATATATATATATATATCATATATATATATATATCATATCGTATATATATATATCATATATACATATATATATCATATATATATATATATATCATATATATATATCATATATATATATATCATATATATATATATATATCATATAATAATAATAGTAATAATAGTAATAATAGTAATAATAGTAATAATAACAATAATAATAATAATAATATATATATATATGTAATATATAGTACATATAATGTATATTATATATTACATATATATATATATATATCATATTAATCATTATATATATATATATTCAATATTATTTATATTACATATATTGTACATATATAATTATTACATATATATTATACAGTATATATGTTCACCCTTATACTGATAGATAATCCACAAATAACCTCCCTTTGCCGCATCGCCAGGCCTTTGATGATTATGGCATCACCCGCAACTCGGGCCTTGCGTGTGAGGTTTTTAGGAGGGTAACAAGCACCGAAATCGCCCAAGTGTAGATGTTTTAATGAGAATTCACATTCATCATCATGTTTGCTTTTTCTCCAAACTCACTTTTGATGGTTCAATCCCCACATTTTGGCAATGATTTCTCCGTTTTTGCTGAGTAACTCTCCAGTGTTGGTTGGTAGTTGAACCGACCACTTTTTGGGTTGGTTTTGACATAGGTTTAGAAATTTAATCCCAATTGAAGTATGAGTTTTCCCATTGTAATTTTATTCTCATTACATCCCCATATATTCCCATGATATTCCCAATTGAAACCCCACATTTTCGATGATTCCCATTGTTTATAGAACGAGCTAACGCCCTGGTGCCGACCCCCTTGAGGGGGGAGGGCACCCCATGTGTAAGACGCATCGGATATGGCCATTCCGTGACCATTTTATCCGCGGTATATCCTGTATCTCCATTCTTGATTTGTATTTCCATTTTTTCTCTACAGAACCCCCATGATAGTTTATTAACAATCAAACATGGTTATCCCCATTTCATTCCCACATTTTCCATTTATTATATGACCAAGCGTCACAGCTGGGCCCGCTGAAACACCTAAGGAGAAGACGCCCGGCAGTTCACCAACCGCCAAGTCATCGAAAGGTGCAGATTTCGTGTCTGAATACGGGTGAAATGGCACCCTAAATGGCAATTTACATGGGAAATTTACATGATAAACCAATGGACTTTTGGCAATTTGGTGTACTCCAATATGACTGAACCATGGGTGGAATGGGGTATTCCATTTTGGGACAGAGCCGAGGCCTCTTTGCCGTATTTTGATTTTTTTTCCACATGATTTGTTTTTTTTTCCTCGGCATTTTTTTGGGTGTGCCAGGAAACATCGTCCCATTCATTGAGGATTCTCATTCTGGGACGGACCACCACACCCCATCACCCCAATTGCTGTTGAATTCTCTGTGTTGCTGCTTACATCCCAATTCACCATAACAACCAGCCATGAAAAATGGCTAGAAACCAGCGACAAGTATATCAAGCATCACCCATTTTGGATCATCCCACTTAGTACGAAGTCCCCATTCAGTGGATTATCCCATTTATAAGTGGCTTGTAACTTACAACCTGACTTACCAACCACTTCCCAAATGGGATCCTAGTAGATTATCCCCTTAAAATAATCCCACGAACACTAACCACCCACTAAATGGGATTATCTTCCAGTAATTCCAGTAAATCTTCCTTTGGCATGGCTCATAATAATATACAGTATTATACAGTACTCACCAACAAATCAAGTACTGTAGTATAAGTTCTTGAATGGGATGATCCTCCAAGGTACAGTAGTTTCTTATATTATTAGTTCATAGTTTATTTTTAAGTTCGTAAATAGGACCATAGTTTATAGATTTATAGTGTGTATAGATATTTATACTTTTTACCATGTAGTTCCTTGTAGTTCTAGTAGTGTGGGTAAAACAGTGTCATAGACCACCCATTTGGAAATGGTAAGCATGCCACCTAAAAGAATGGTGATGACTGGGGGATGGTTTATGGCATTGTTTTACCCACATTAGTTCATAGTGGATCAAACAATGGACCAAATATTGAAACCCTATAAATAATAGGATTTTTACCATCTATCAACTGATAAATAATTGGATAAACCATACTACGTGGATTATAAACCATCTACTGGGGGATTTCTTCCATCCACAGATATGATATATATATATAACTATATATATATTTAATTATATATATATAATGATAACAACAACAATGACAATAACAATAATCATAGGATCAACCATTATAATAGGATATCAACATATATTAAATAGTTTGTAGTTCTAGTAACTAGGTATACATAATCCTCCAAGATCCCTCCGCCAGGCTGCCGGAGCATCGCCAAGGCCAGGCTGCCGAGGTGCTGCGTCGCTTCTGCCAGGCCTTCAACGACGCCTTTCCGTTGGTGGAACGCCGCTGGGACGATGGGAACGGATGGGGGACAGGATCCCAGATGATCCCAGATGGGGATGGGTCAAAACCCTGGTACCGTGCCGTGAACCCCAAGTCATAGCTGGGATTTATGGATGTGAATAACCCACTAAAAATGTATCTATAGGTATTGACCCATACCCAGATGATCCCATGTTTTTTTTTTTCGATTGTTAGAAGGATTCCATCAGATAAATCCCAGGGTTTTCGATGTTTTTGGTTGGTTTTCGCCGGTGAACATATGTCGAAATAGTGATTTTACCAGCCAAAATTGGATTTCACCGGTAGTTGACCATCAACATACGTTGATGGTGGGATTATAATTTAGGGGGGTGATGTGTACAATGATTTGTAGACTGGAGAAGTGGAGATAATGGTTTCTGACGATTTGATGGGGTGGAATCACTGGAAAGCAACCACCAGATGGGTATATATGGGTATATCAATCTTACATGTACAGGTATTATAGTTTAAGCCCAGATAATGTGTCGATATGCCAGATATACCAGGGTGAACTAGGGACTCATCCTCTATTTAGGTATCCTTCCAGAGAAAAAGGCGAGTCCTTAGAGCTGAGTCCTATGAGTTATGACAATTATGACATCAATCACGTCGTGTGTTGATGCTGAAGGAATAGAAGAAGGGAACTAGAAACTTTGCACATTGACAAGGCCTTTTGTAGTGTGACATTTTGTGAACCGGATGGGTCAAAGATATGAGGATTCTAACTCCAGACTTTGCCTGATCTTTCCACACGTGCTGGGTGATCGGGTTATTTCCTACCGGTCGACCAACCCAGGACTATTTGAGTGCGAAGCGAATCCGTTCCTTTTGATGCTCGGCACGTTTTACTAGGATGTTCAGTGCGCAGTGGCAAGAAACCAATGTGGGAGACCTTTTGTCAATCGGCAGGTCATTTGCAAACAGGTTCTGGGTCAAAAGTTTTTTCAGCACTTGCGAAGCACGAGCCCTGATTTAATTTTGAATGATGTGGGCAACCCATGTTTCCAAACCTGCCATGACTGGGGATGATTTATACCATCCATGAAGATGGTGATGACTTGGGGATGGTAAAACTTATTGGGTTTACCATGGGAAACCCCACATTAGCAATGCCAGCCAGGACATAGTGACTCTGAAAACTGGGCATCCTAAAATCTCATGGCTGATCATCATGCTACGAATATGGGGATGGGTCGAAACCAATGAATTTACCGTATTTTGGGTAATAAACATTTGGCTAAACCAGCTATTTTAGGGTACCTAGGGTCCTAGGGTTTTGACTCATGGCCATATAAATTAATACTAATAACATGACAATGTACTGTACTATATCCATTTTTTTGGCGTTATAACATTATTTAGGTAAACTTTGGAGATAGTAAACATATCCCATTAAACATCCCCATCTTGGGTAGTACCAATATCAATTTTGGGTCCATCTCCACCACTTGTTCCTGTTTGGCACGAGGAATGGAGAGGTGAACTTGCCTGGGCCAATGTTGCTTGGCAGCGGCATGGAGATGCCGCCCCGGCTCGAAAGCCTGGTTTGTGGTAGCCTATGATAGTTGCTATAGCTGGACATTTCTTCCCCCCAAATACGGTACATTCATAGGTCTTGACCCATCCCCATGTCTGAACATGTGCTGCATACCCCAAAAATAGCAATGTTGATAGGGATAATGATGATTCAGCATGCTGAAAATATGGCACCCCCCCAAAAAAATGGTACCCCTAGAATTCTGGTACCCTAAACCCTAAACCTTGGAAAATGATGATTGAACCTCAATTTGTTTGGGGTACCTCAAGACTGTGGGATCCTCCCAGCCCCAGGAGCGAAGAGACACCTGTGATCTTCTCGCTGCCATACGTGGCCCAAGCAGGTGAGACTGAGGTGGGGATGGGGACCATCGGTTTTGTTGGCTTTATTCATTTTTTGCACCTGAAGCCATTGAAACTGTTGGAACATCTATGACCAAATAATTGCCAACATGGGTTGGGACAGTTTCTTTTAAGATGATTTGTCGAAACGCGACATGATCCCAAATTTTGGGCCCAATGACTTGAACTTGTTGAATGAATCAAAGCATCTGGATTCCAACCACAAACTCAAGAACGAATGATGAATGATCCTCATTGGATGTTGAAAATCCACCATAATCAATCCACCTCCAATTGTTTACATGTGGTCCGAATCACTGGCGACGCAGTGTGAAGTATGGTCCTGGTCTTAAGGCATACTATAACCATACCATCCAGATATTGTAGTTTTCAAGTATATATTCACCAATATTCACCAATATTTCATGATATTTGTGGCCCAGCTGTGATGGTATGGGGACCCCCAAACGGCAACCCCTTTGGCAGGCGCCATCTTTGTGCACTGTGCAGTTGGCGAACGTCCTTCAGGGCGCTCAAAACGAGCTGGTGGAGGTGGGGGAACACTTTTTCAATACAGGAGGGGGGGAAGGGGTAGGCAGGGATTTGTTATGAATTTGAAGCCTGAAATAAGAGCCTGGGTTCAATAGGTCCCGGAGGCTTTGTTTTTGATTTGCGTGGCTCTTGGAATGAACCGACCAGATCAGGTCCTATGCAGATTTTTCTGGTGGACTTTGAACTTTGAAAGACAACCAATGCTGCATTTTGCCCAGTGGGATGCATGCTGGCATCTTTGTTGTGGCGGTTTCTCATCATTGGTTCCAAGAAATCAGAGAAATCACCTCCCCATTCCTCGGATGATGAACGAGCAATGGAATGGTGATTGTTTTTCGGGAATCATCCCCATAGTTGGCACATTTCAAATATCATCATTGACGCATATTTTCATTGGATATGGATGAATGATGGGATATGGATTCTTAATATTTCTTAATGCATGATTAATGGATGATGAATCGATTTCTGGTGCTTTCCCCAGATTCATGTGGACCCAGCAGGTCCAAGTCCAGCCAGGCCTTGGACTCGTTGGACACCGGCGACGCCGCCAGAGCCGATGGCGCCATCACCGTCTCGGCGGCCACGGCGCCCGAAGCATGCGATGCCTTGCTGGCCTCCCTCGTTGCGCGGCAGAGATGGGATCCCAGTGGAGATGGAAACGATGGGTAACACATGGTAACACCGTAACAGAAAAGGATGAACCAACCTTAAGACACATGGTCATAGATCATATACTGTATTATGTATATATATATATACATTTCATATTTTTGATGATACATGAGATTATGACATATTATGACTATCAATTTGCCAATGAGTTGATTTGTCGATATTTTTCCCGGCTGTGGGAGAAAAAACAGTGCACCGCCTCCAGTGCACCGCCTCGGTCGAAACAGTAGCAACAAATGATTCAATAAGAACTGGGTATCCAACAAATAGTTATATGGTTATTGTTGAAGAATATCCATATGGAGGATAACTAGGATAACCAATATTTGTAAAATGGTTGGTAAAAATAGTTGGTTAAAATAGTTGATTATCTCCAACAAATGCACGCAGTACATCCAACAAATCTCAAAGATGTCCGACTGCCAAAGCAGGACTTGCAGACAGATTTGCTGCCACTGCTTCATGAACACCGGCGTGAAATGCATGGCTTGGACTATGACTTAGTGACCGGGCAGCAGCTGTAAGTCGGAAGGTTGTTGGAAACCTGGAGGCTTAGGTTGAAATGTTGTCGGAGGGCTTGGGGTACACTTGGATTGATCAGGATTGGTCATTGGAAACTATATCTTAAATGTTGGCATCAAAGGGTTGGGTTGAGGCCAGTTTGGGGGCTGGAATCAAGAAACAGGATGAAACTGATACGAAGCATTTCTTCTTGCAATGATGGGTCGCTTAGAGTAGAAATTGGGATCGCAATCCACTTCAGCATCTACAAGTAGGGAGTTGCCTCCCAGTTCTAGAAACTTACGAGGCTTATCTATATAGAATATTATAGAATCACTTCCGTAGAAATCCTCAGGTTCCATTTAGGTTTGGCCCAAAATGCAATTTTATGATAGTTTACTCGGATACTTGTGGTATCTTGTGGTTATTTCAGAGAAACCCAGGGTGAAATCTGGGGGGATGGGATTCATTGGGTAAGGCCAAGATCAACACCTGATTTAACGTAGCTGTATAGAAAGTTACCATTTTTGATAGGTAAATGATCAGAAATCATCTATAAACGGGGCCATTTTCCATATATAGTTTATATAGCTATGTTAAATAACAGGGTAAAAATGATTTCCGAGCCCATCATTCCCCCCATTGCTTGCACCAGGAAAGCCTCGAGGCTGCTTTGGTAAGGCGTTTGCGCGGCGCATCGCGAATTCAGGCGCGGGTCACATGGGTAGCGCAGCAGGTGCATTTCCTGAAATTGGGGATGTTTTTAGAACCAACAATGGGAGATACCAGTCAAATTACTGCATGCTAAATTGCGAGAGAGAAATATATTAATATATATATATATTAAAAACATATATATATATAATTATAATATATATATATATACATATATATATATATACATATATATATACATAATTATATTTATATATATATACATTATAATCAGATATAGCAACTCTTACCGAACCACCAGGTTTTGGTCCTTTCTTTGTTGCCATTCCCACTGGTTGTGTTCGAAACCCATATGCCTTTCACGCATGCATGGCATATTTACCAACACTTTGCAAAATACACCCGAATTTACCTAGGCAAGTAGGGAGGTTTCCTAAGTCATGAGGATATCCATCATCCAAGTCATGGATGACCATTTAGTATTGAAACAACCATGGTGACTTGGGGTACCTGCATGACTTTGGAAATGTTTGTATAGCAATATTTTCATGGCTGGTTATGTTCAGGTGCAATTGCGTCACGTGCGCTTCGGCGGCGAGCTGAAGGTGTGGTTTGGGATGGTTGGACATCAAGATCCATTTTTTTTTATGGGGATATGGGCCATGAGGATGTAAGGATATGTAAGGATGTTTTAATGGATGTAACGTCTCATATAAGCAGTATGGAATGTATAGGTTTGCCAGGACTGGTTCTTACGTGACTGTGGGACCAATGGGGGATGCGCCGAAGAGAATGGCAGTGTTCAGTGGACAAATGAGGATTTCCTGGGAAACTGTGTTCGCTGGGACAAAGTTTGCTTCAGACTCGCTTGGTTCGATCTGACGAGTGGATTCAATTCGGATTCAATGTCATGATATGTTTTTCGGCCCCAAATTTCAGATAAACGCCATATCGTTGAAACGGGTGCTGGTCGTACAATATATTAGTAGCCACAAGGTGAGGGAGGGGCGATGTTTTCCGATGTTTTTCTCCTAAGGGTCGTGAACGGGTCGGTTTCAGTGTTCTGATTTTTACTTACAGTTTTTTTTCCAACATTCTCTAACTGTTCTAAATGTTCTAACTTGGTATCGGGATGTATCAAGACCACTCCACATTCGGCTCCGAATCTCAGATCTAATCCCCTCACCCCTCCAGGACTCGGGACGCCTCGCGGTGCTACGGCAGAAGTTGCCACAAGAAGCCTTGCCTTTTGGAATGGTGGAAGAGACTTGGACCATCTTGGATCCACTTGGGGATGATGGTTGGATTATATGGGTAAATTGGATCCCGTAGGGATGGTCATAATACATATCATACCCGGTTTTTTCTGAAAGTGAGGGATGATTCATTAGTGGGTTTTCCAGATGATTTACCCATCGTATCTAACAACAGTGCGGGATTTTGACCAACATGAGAGACCGAAATCATTGAACGACTGAATGACCTCCAAATTAATTAGATAGTATAGGTTACATTAGGTGACTACAGAATTGTTTAAAATAAAAGGACGTTCAAGACTTGTGGGTCCATTAAAAGGCCATGTTGGAGCCATGCCCGGGAGCCTTTTGAACAATGCTTGGAACGATCCTCGATCAGAGTGACAAGGAATTCCAGTTTGGAAGAGTTGGCATGAAAAAGTAGGGAAAACCCATGTTGTTAATGGATGTTCCCTACTTTTTAATGGAAAACCCATGTCCATCATTTTCCATTAAAAAGTAGGGAACATCCATTAACCCAAGTCTATCTCTAGGGTTGATTTCAGAAGATCCATGGGTTTTTCCAATCCGGCCTTCCGGTGTGTCCATCTATGCCAAAGCCATTGAGAGTTACCCCTCCTTTCATCACTGGCAATTTCCTCCATCAGGCCACCTGCAAAACACTCATTTCATAACCATAAAAAGCCAAGGGTTTTTCAAAGATACCTAACTTATCGTAGCTTCACCATATTTCATCATATTTCCCCGAAGAATTTCGGCAGTCATCCTCCAGAAAACATGGTGGACCCACCAGGAGCTGCGTCGCGAGCTTTCCCGGCACGAAGAGGTGGAAGCCACCCGCGCATTGCGCGCGCTGTTGGAGGACAGTATCCACCTCTGCGCCTCGATAGAGCTGGGAAAATCCCCCCAGAAATGGAGGTTTTTTCGCTGGGAAAATCATCTATAAATGGAGGTTTATGAAGAAGACATGACTTTTAAGTATCAACAAGTATCAGGGGTTGGGGGCAGAAAATGTGGAGTGGTTGAACTGTCAACAATTGTCTCAACAATCTAGATTTTCCCACCATGTTTTTTTTTGTGATTTTTACGCATCCAAAATTTCATAACTCCTTCAAAAGAAAATGGGGATTCGACTATGAACAAGTTGGGATGGAAGTTGGAAACACTTGGGCGGAACCGTGCAACTGGGTATTGCTGGATGAAGGTGATATTGAAGATTCTTGATGCATGACGTGGTAGATTTATATTTAATTCACGTGACTTTTAGCTCTGTGAGTGATCGAGAATGAGCACTGCATTTCCCCAACCGAGCATTCCCGAAGGCTTCAAACGGAGAGCCAAAAGAAAACATATCTCTATTCTTGAAGACCCTAGAACCACATAGAACTACCGGGTCTGGTCATTTATGTTAAGATGAATTGTGTAATCATCCTACGTGTAAAGTATCAACATCACCGGACTTATAGTTTGTTTCCCTAGTCAACTTGGGACACTTGCTGTGGCTCAGGTTTATCTCTGCCCTTTGGGGACAGTGCAGCGGTATCTCGCTTTGTTTTTCAGCCGGTTGATGGTTGATCAGTGACCAGATGTGACCAGGGGTGAGGTCAGTTTTTGACGGATTTGGTCACAGGTTTCCATTGAAAATTCCATTGAAAACAATGGAGGAGCACAAATTTCTGATGTCCACGGGAGGGTGATCGCTGTATCCACATCCGTCCTATCCGTCCTATCCGATCCTATCCGCCCGGCGCGAGGCCCAGAGATCGTTGGCAGAGTTGCTGAGCACTTCGGGAGAAAGTGAGACCAAGGCCTTGGGAGAACATGTTGGGACCTGCTTTGCGAACGAAACATCTAGAGGAAAAGCCCAAGAATTTATAGGACGCATCAGGGTTTCTTGGCTTTTTTTTGTGTTAAAGCAATCCAATCCATTGATTGTTGTTGACTCTCAAGATGTCTTTGACTGACTGGAAAAACGGTTTCCTAGCCGTGCATTAGTTCTGCAACTGTCTTGTTCAGTGGCAATGCCTTGACTGGTTTGACGCTGCACTGGTTTGGATACTGTAACTTGTGGCAAGTGACCCGCATGTTGTATTCCTATAGTCCTATATCAAGACCTGTCCATTTCCACTGGTGCGGAGCAAGCCTGGCGTTCTGTGGACAAAGGTCCATGTCGCCATGTCGGAGACATGTTTTGAGGTGCTGCCATCAGCCCTGAAAGATGCCAAATTGTGCCATTTGCAAGAGCTGCACCTTGACCTCGAAATGGCTAGGCTCAGGACCAACTGGGGCGATATGTGAGCTATTCAAAATACCTCTGGGTGAATACAGGGGGCTTTTTGTTGACCTTATTGGGCATAAATAATACCCAGAATAGATCATGATAGACTATCATTTATTGGATTTTATTGACCCAAAGGACTATCATTGGAGATCCTTAGCTTTCATCTCAGATTTTTGTGATCCAACTCCTGATACATTCCCTGGTGAAACTGAGGTATATGGATCTGGTACGCTCCAATGAAGCGGGAGATCCCCTGGCGGGAGTGGCACTTGCCTACCAGGAGCGGCCAAGTCCTTCATTTGGACAAGCCGGTACATATCAGTGGTCACTACATAATACTATATAATACTATATAATACTATATAATACTATATAATAGTATATCATACTATATAATACTATATAATAGTATATAATAGTATATAATACTATATAATACTACATAATACTACATAATACTATATAATACTATATAATACTATATAATACTATATAATACTACATAATACTACATAATACTATATAATACTACATAATACTATATAATACTATATAATACTATATAATACTATATAATACTATATAATACTATGTAATACTATATAATACTATATAATACTATATAATACTATATAATACTATATAATACTATGTAATACTATATAATACTATATATATAATACTATATAATACTATATATATAATACTATATAATACTATATAATAGTATATATATATACATTATATATTATGTGTATGTTATATATATAGTATCTCCTATGGTGTACCATTATTTATTTATATATCATTATGTTCCATTAATTATGAATCAATTTTATGTAATTATAATTAATGATACTTATATCAATATCCTATTGTATCTCAAGGAGATGTCATGATATGTCAATGATATGTCAATGATATTCCCATGTTTTCTTGGGTCATAGCCATAAACGTTCGCTTCTTGAAGCGTTCGCTGGGGCACAGGAGCCTCTGGATGATGAGTTGTTAGCACAGCTGCGGGTGGCAGCCAAGGTCACTGGCGGACGTGGCGGACGTGGGGAGTTGATTACTGTTCATTCCTCCATGATTTGGGGAATATAAACATACAGTATATATATAAACAACTACCCAACATTGGCTGACTAACGGTTATGATTTGGGTTTACTACACTAATTACTGTAGTGGGGAAACACCCAGGTCCTTTGGTCCAGCCAAGAACAATGGGTATCATGAGTGTATAAACAATGGTCCGGGTGGTTTGAATCATGCTTTGAGACATTCCATCATGCAAATGGGATGATTCCAACCGGCAGATTATTTGGGTTGTGGTGGATTGAAATCGCCAACAACAACGTGGATCTTAGTGTCTAAAGTTGAAGCACGTTTCATCCATTCAATGATTCCAGCATTTCCACAGTTTCTGAATGCTCACTCCATACTCTCTTGCAGTTTGGGATTCAGAGTCAGATCTATGTTCATGATCCCTTCGCCAAGGATTTCAGAAAGTCAACCTTTCACCATGGTTGCTGATCAAGACTGACCAGTACAATACTGACAATACTTTCATCTTTACTACGACCTACTACGACCTACTACGACCAAGCTTGAAACTCTTGAGACCCCAAATTTCGACAGGATTTGAAAGAATGGCTGCCGGTACTCCACGATTTGCTGGCAGAACAGTCTCTTGACCGTCTTGGGCTGCTTGGGATCCTTGGGTTCTTTTGGGCTGTGAGGATCGACTGAGGATCGACTGAGGATCGGATAGTGAATTTCATATCGCCAGTATGGTGTGGAAGACATGGCATCCACAAGCCAGGAATCTGATGAATCTCTGTGGATCAATCCATGTCAATCCCACGGTCCCAAGGGACAGCCCTTCTCCGCTGTACCCAGGCTGGTGGTGGACAGATTTCCCGCAGGCGCTGGGACTGTCGTCAGCCAGGGTTCAATGATTGGTTTCTGGTCTCGAGAAAACTGGGGTTCAAACCTCCTATTGATCGATCCATCCCTCAATCTTGACCTCATCCATAGGTTTTATCCACTTCTTTGATCATCTTTGACCATCTTTGATCGAATGTCCGCCACCTCCAGGTAGTTCGCTGAAGGATTTTCTGGGCTTCGCAGCAGGCCAACAAAAATGGCTTTTTGGGATTTGTTGGGAGAAGAAAAGTGGAGGATTTCTCCATTTCAGCAGCAAGAGATACCAAAAAAAAGGCGGATTTCAATGGATTTCATCAGACATTGATGGGGTTATTGCTCCTAACCCATTCTCTTGGAGGGTTGGGACCCATTGGCTCTGACAACCTAGCCCCAAACCATACACAACTGGCTTCTTCCATGAGACTGGATGCATCTGAGGGTCTGAAAATAGGGCACCCCGAGATCGGCTTGAAAACCACATGAGCTCAGAGTGACCTCACAGTAGATGGCTGGAAAACTACCCTTTGCGACGGGGTAGTGGGCTGATTCCTTGCTGCCAAACAACTATAATTAGAACTGGATGGCAGAAATGAACCATATGTAGTCAGTAATGAGACCATCCATTCTATCTCATCCATGATATCTCACCCATGTTATCTCTCTATATTACTGACTTGGAGGATCATCCCACTTAGTAAGTGAGTAGCAACTGGGTTCGTTCACCAATTTCTAAGTGAGATAATCCACGCATCGGGAACTTGCTCACCAGGGTTCTTAAGCACAAACACGATCCGTGGGATGACCCTCGTATCTACGGATAGCTACTGGATAATCCATTGATCATAAGCCCATAAGCCATCCATGGATGGCAGGTGAAGATCCACCGGAGAACTTCCCTGACGAACTTGAGCTGCGACACGCCTTGAATGTGCACCGGACTCTGGCAGAGCTGGAAGTGTGACGAACGTAGATGGGTTGGATGGGTTGGACATGGGCCCTGGTAGGGTTTCTTGGATTCTGTTGGATCAAGAACTGGAGAGTCTCGTTTTGTTTTGAAGTTTTTTTTGGATGGCTTTAGGTGAAGAGTTCAGATTTGAGTTTCAAAGATCCATGCCTATGCGGGCATCCAAGTTTGAGTGCACATATTCAAAGTTTGATCGTCACGTGCTGTTCCTTTAAGCATCACTGAGAAGGGGAGATAGCTCCATTACTCTGAGCATTTTGCAGTTGAGTTCAAGCTACGAAGTTGCGGGGCCCCAAGACATTCCCAAGCCATGCTTCATTGGAAAAGGATCCACTTCATGAAGTTGATGTTTTTCCGGTTTAGACAGCGCCTGACAAGCGATAGTCATGGATTTGCCTCACAGGCCAGTTTCAGAGTACTTTCGCATCATTTCCAAGACAGCCGTGGGTTTGTTTGCTTTCAATCCGCAAATCCCGGCAGTTTAGAAACGCAATCTGTTGACATGGCAACAGCTCAATGCTTTAGCTGAAACGCCTAAATCGTTTGAAGTCTACGACTGCGCGACCGCGCGACCCGCCTCGTGCAGAAGGCAGTCAAATGTGGTGCATCTCAGCGACCCGTGGAGCTGCTTAAGTACCAGTGGACCAGGGGCTAGAAGTCGGAACTTTCCTAGCGAATATCCCATGTGTTTTTTCTGGGGGGATCTCCTGTTCCCACAGTTTGTGGGTGACTATCCCCTGTTTTTGTTGCTGGATATCCACCTATATATGTTTTTTGTTTCTGCATTTCCCCATTTTGCCCAAAGACTTCTCAAGCGCCATCGTCAGCCTGATGAGTTGGTGGGTGGCCTTCCAACAACCAGTAAATGGAGGACGATTTAGTTTAGGCTGGTGACGACCGCGGATCCCCATGACTTGAGAAGAACCATATCTAGCCACCAGAATTGATGTCCTAGTTGAGGATAATATTAGATAAAGCTTTGTGAGATTTTGTGAGGATTTGTGTCTCCATGTCTTGTTAGCAAAACCCTCAAACCCCAAAAGGAGGATGATCCATATGGCGATTTCCCCCAATCGTGGCCCCTAAAATCATCCAACCTATCATCAATTCACAACATTTCTTTTGGGGGCAATTACCTTCACTCTTGGGAAAAGCCCATAGCGCGTGTATATATATATATATAACTGAGGATATTCCATCATACATTCCAACCTCAAAAACCCAAGAACCACCATATGAGCTCATATGGCCTCTTTCTTGCTACCCTCCTATAAACTAACATAGATGCGGAAAATCCACCATAAAAGTAACGAGTTTTCCCATGGACTTTCCACATCAAGATATGTTATCATCCATTTTATCAGTTATATTCCCCAATATTCCCCATGATATTTCCCATGATTGATGCTGAATATCCCAGTAATACCATTAATATCCCATTGACATCCCTGGTACCCTCTGGTAAACTAACATAACTATAGAAAATCACCATTTTCAATGGGAAAATCCACTATAAATGGTCATTTTCAATAGCTATGTTAAATTACCAGGGGATAATGGAGGTTACCACTTGTACGTCCGAACGCCGTCTCAGCTGTCGACTCAGAAGCCTCAGATCCCACCGTCCCACCTGCGACCAAAAAAGCGTCGCGAACGTCGCGAACGCCATGGCTACCAGGACGCGAACGCTTAAGAGTCATGCTGTGGATGTTCCGGGTGATCATTGCTCAAAGAATGGTGGTTAAATGGTTAAACATGGTTGAACTATTGTTAAACTACTCATGTTAATGGGGATTACGCCAAGCAATTTATGGGGATATAATGGGATATATCTGGCTAGATTGGATGTAAAATGGGTATAAAATGGATAGATCATGATGAATCTGGAAGGCTTTTTGTGGTGAACCAAGCAATAATAACTTTCAATATTCTGGATGGTAGAAAGACACTATAATTTCTTGTCACCGGGGATGGTTTATGGTGTTGGCCGACCGTATGGTAAATGATTTCTTTTTAATATACTGCAATGATGCATACAAAGACATATGGGCATTATCCCAGAATCATCCCAGAATCAGCTTCTTTCAGATTGAAGTATGACAATTCTGAAGTATTGATTCTATCTCCTCATCAAACTGCTTATTTCACTTGCAGGAATTTGCTTGATACAGCCAGATGCATGTTATATCATAATCCATGAAACTGGAAATACATGAAAGACTATGTTTCATTACTCTACGTACTTTTATTATTGCTATTGCCAGATTTTTTTTACCATGCTTGAAGAAACAATCCCATGATTTTCCCAGAAAAAAAACGCACCGTGAACTTCGTCAGGACTGGTCTTACACTGAGCCAGGCAGGGCTGGGAAGGGATACATCGATTGTGGGTTGTTGTTTTTTTACTGCTGAATGTTGTGACTATTGGGAACGTACTATTGCATACAGGTGGTTAGCCATCACTTATCCAAGGGTTGCTTGTTCTTCATCATGTTTGTTGCTTGTTATTGCTTATCATCCTCCATTGATGCGGGCTCACGCCTGGATACAGTCATCTTGCGGAAATCATTTAACCGCTGTGTTTTGCAGCCCAACTTGAGACCATGGTGTCCCACAAGACCCCTGACCAGATATAAACAGGGTGATAAGTGATAACTGCCCAGAAGTGGGCCCTATGTATCACCGGTCCATTTGGGGCACACCATTGGAAGTGGGAATTCAAAACGATGGACCGTTCATACCATTGCCCAACCACACCTGGCCAGGAGGCATTCCTGGTTTTGCCCCAGGCCATGTTGGGAGTTGTCAGTTCCAACCTGGGCATCAGCAGACCACCAAGACTGGTCCCAACCGAGTCTGCACCCAGCAACTCCGACTCCGGCAACCTCGCGCTAACATGTGTATATAGTCTCATGTAGTTGCCGTAATTCAGGTAGTTGTACCCATTCCTCACCACTTTTGTTACTTAAACCCCCATTGTCCCATTGTCGATGTGAATACGTTTCACAGATCGAAAGCCATTCCAGAGCGGAAGTAATTTATTCCACAAAGGCTTTCTATATGGAACCCAACATATAATAAATCATACTGACACTTACCCAATTACTTGCCATTTAGATTCCTCATATGTATCATAAACCGTACGCTTTGATATCCGCTCACGGTGCCATCCGATCATCCGCAGCCCCTAGTTTTTCGGTGAGCAAGGGGTTGGAACCTGAAGAAAATACAGGAAACCACTTTTTTTGCAAATGTTTTCTTTAACCAATTTGGTTTGAAATGCTCAATCTGTACATTTTGGGTTTTCAATTACTGTCAAACTTAAAGATACCAATGTTATTTGCAAGTGACTTCCTTTTTCCCTTTCTATCCTTCAGACATTTTCATCTTTGTCAGGAGCCTTGTTGACAGAAGCTCTGCACCAGAAGAGATTGAAAACTGCATCAGATATTTCCGCGGCAAAAGCTTTGGACCAAAGAGCGGAGAGCAGAACAAGACGTTCGCGATCCTTGCTCTTGTGTACAAAAAAGGCTCTGTCATTGAGTTGTCAATATGTGGGGAGAAGTTACATAGAAATATGGTCGAATAGTGCTAAGGAAAGTAGTCATGAGGTTGCCTACTCTGCCACCTATACTTGCTTCTTATATCGACATCAACTTGACATCAACGTCCGAAGGAAAGCTTGAGATTGTACTTTCCCCAAGATATCCAGCCAAACTGAGACGTCGGAACAAGAACCTGAAACAGGAACCCATCCAAACAACAGCCGCAGCATCCCTTGTGGTTGACTCGCCATGAAGATCACATCAGCGCTCACATTGTGCCTGGGCTTCGCGCTTGTGTTCCTCCTAGGCTCTCCCCGGCAGTGGCCACCACGGCCGGGCCGGTGGCAGTTTGAAGAGTTGGCCTGGCAAAGATTGAGCCTGGAGGGCCTAAAGGGCCCGGAGTTTGAGGATGATGTTTCAAGGTGGGGATGAGTCCAAAACATGGTCAGAAGCCTCTGTTTTTTTTTTTCCCCTCGGGAAGATAAACATCCCATCCATCACTGGTCCATAACCTTTTTGCAGCTGCAGTTCCACTCAGTGGGTACTCGGAAAACCTTGGTTGGGCAATTAGGTCAATAGTTTGACTTGTTGCCATGGGCATATATATATACTACGTGATTCAAAATTACTTTTCTTGAGGAGGTATCAAAGCTCATGAAAGATAAGTTACGGGTGTTTGAACATGATCGCATATGATCGCATTCTCAAATGGTTCTGCACCCTGGTTTGGCAATGAAATCACCATGGTTCTGCACCAGTACAGCAGCAAGGATCCAACAACTTTTACCCATTCTTTGTATGAATAATTTCTGATGATATACCTATCAAAAATGGTGATTTTATGTGATTTTCCATCTGTGTAGGTTTCTTGCAGCCAACGATTCGGACGCGGACACGCTCCGCATGGCCGACGTCTTGGTGGTCTTAGATTTCACGGTCTCGGCTTGGCAGCGACAGCAACAGGCGGAGACTAAGCAACGGAAACTCAATGGCTTCTTTTTTTGGCAGAAAGTAGGGGAAACATTGTGATCCTACCTTTTCTCTTGGGGATAATGTGGGATGATATTCTGCGTCAATGGGACGCTGAGAGGCTCAATCTGCCTTATTTCAGCTTTGAACAGGCAATTAGCATTGTATCAACCATTGAATGTAGAATCCACAATAATTAATTAATCTGCTTGGATGATCTTGGATGTAAATCCACAATTTGGCACTTCAACCCCGTGCAATGTAAAGAATGGCAGCGTGATTCCAATTTTTTCCAAATTTGAACAATGGCAAAGAGTGATGGGATTGAAGCCAGCATTGATTCATGGAAAATTATCTAATCATCAAGATATATTCTTAAATCCATGTACACACAGTATGATATATTAAAATATATATATACACACGTAATATACATATACATATATTTGTATTATACATATTATGTGTCACAGTGGCATTACAAGGCTGACGCTGCGTCCTTCACAGAAAACCTGGGTCCCCACCGAGGAGTTTGCTGCAGCCCTGGTGGGTAATGCCTCGGCGACGAATTCCACCTGGCGCCTGAACTTTGGCTTCGTGCTCCTTAAAGGGAACGTGAGCTATGAGTTGCTGAGCCACGAAGATGGCCCCCTTGGAAGCCCCATGATCCATATCCATGTCTAGCCATATCTATCCATATGGTGTCTGAAGTCACAGGGGATCCCCAGTCGTCACCATGGCTTTCAATATGTTTCAATAATAAGTCATGGTCATCTATGACGACTGGATGATGCAAGGGGTACCCCCATGACAAAACGGAAACCTCCATATCTATCTTCATTCTGGCTGCCGGGCTAGTTCACCGAATCATCAAGCGGCTACGGATTTGAATATGGATGGATTGGTAATTGGCAGTTTAAAGCTTTCCCAGCTGATCAGTTGATCATACCGAAATTCATAAACCATCATAAACCTACCGGTTGGGGTCTTTGAAAGGATCAGTTTTGTGGCGTATGATTTTCCATATCATGCTCCTTCAGATTTTTCCCATTCGAGCAGGTCCAACATATACGAAACCGAAACCTCCATCAGACAGTAATTTGTGAATGATCCAGTATAATTGGATATTCACAGCTAATCACACAAGATTATTCAGGCAATCATGTTTTCTAGAGTTTTTTGATATCACTTGATCTAGTTGCCCACAAAGGACGGGTTCCAAATAGTCAATTCAGCCGGGTTTATATAGAAATCTCCAGCAACGATACCATGTTCATCACGTTTGATCATCCATCCACCAGTTTTGGATCCAGATCAGACCATCTGGTAGCAATGGGAAAGCGATCTATGTTTGTTGATTCCAACAAGCCCTTCAATCATTGGCCGTATAATATATGGGGGTTTCCTAAATTATGACTACCCCACAGTCATCATCAATCATCCATTTGTTCACATGTTCTTTTCATAGGAGTTTCCAGCAAACAAACCATCCAGCTATTGGGGTGTTCCCATGACTATGGAAACCCCCATGTCCATCATCGTCCCTGCTCAGCCATCAAGATCACCAAGGTTGCCGCTGACGGATGACTATTCGATGCTACAGCAACAGCTGCTCCTGGCCTGTGGCTTTTAACAGGTTTTAACATGTTTTTACCATTTCAATCAACTGAGCCCATCGATTTTTTGGCCCATGAAATATATGTGTTTACAGTCACAGTCAGAGATACCGAAGCGTGTTTCTTCGGGTTGCTGAAAACGACTGAAAATCCCACTGTCGTCTCTGTGATTCCCAAGATTTTTTGAGAGTCCCTCAATACATCGACAGCACCTGGTTTTTGCTACTGCGCCCAAGAATGAACCTGAGATCATAGGAACTCATAGGAACTCATTGGACAATATTGGACATACTAGACCATAGAATATCTCAGCCATGCCTGTTGCTATTAGGTTTCTTAGATATATAAGAATGCGGAGCCCTTCCTCACTGCTTTGGTTGCTTTTGTCCCACCAATTATATCCAATTATTGGATGTTTCAGCTGTTTTCCAGCTTGGGAAACTATGATCATAGTATCAATGATCTTACTCCGCCATGCCTCAGCCGTTTCACAACTCCCAGTTCCGAAGCTGAGATTAGTTGTATCCTCACTTGGTTGTTGGTTAATTACTAAACAGATTTGGCCAGTCTGTACCTCGGATTTGTTGTGAAAAACCATTTTAAACCACGGGATTCGCGGCCACTTCCCAACATGTCCCAAACGGATCCCACCGGCCCCATGTGATTTTCAACCTTCCGTCGGCACCTCGCTGGCGGTACCCCAATAGCTAGATGGTTTATAATGGAACATCCTATTGAAATAGATCATTCTGGGGTACCCCCATGGATTGGAAACCTCCAATTCTTCAAGACTATTGTAATTCACCACAATTTACGCAGATTCATTGGTCACAATTCCATTCCAAAAGCTGTCTCCCGAATAAACTATCCACATTTATCAGATAACCCCATATTATGAATTGAGCATCTTATCCCAGCCACAATGGTTTCTTGATGTTTTTTTCACCGCCAAAGGTTGGATCCCAGCTTCACCACCGTCCCCGACCTGCCGCCTGCGCCGGTGCCACTGCGCTTCGCACGACGCACCGCGGAGGCGCTGCGGCTCTGCAGCGAGGAGATCGACCGGCGCGGCCTTTTTCCGCCCGTGAGCACGGCGCTGCTGGTGCTGACGGCTGGGGCGTCGGATGATGCGGAGAATGTGCCAGGACTGGGGAGGGGAGGGATGGAAAACATGGGGAAATCATACTCAAACAACGAGAAATGATGTTATATTAAGTATAGAGTATTGCTGAGATAAAGGATGTTTCGGGTGCAGTTTTTGGTGCTTGTTTGATTGGTTGTGGACATTTGGTTGTGTTTTTGTTGGAGGTCGGAAGTGAAAACGCATGCAGATGATGTTTTGGTTTGCAGTTGGACAATGATCGGAGCAGACTTCTCTGCAGTATGCAATATATCTAGGGCCATCTAGGGCCTAGGATGAATGCCTTGCAAAAGATACCATCATTGATGGGATTCAGTGTCGCTATTGTTTCATGGCTTAGATCCAAACTCAGAGGAAATCACCTTTCATGAAATACCTATAGAAATCACCCCAACAACAGCACCGACCCCAGTTATTTCCGTGTCATCGTCATCACCTTGTCACTTGGAGGATCATCCCACGAATCGTAACTGGTTATTCCATCTTTACAACCCAATTAGATTAACGGGATAGCCACACTGCACAACTATTACATTCAAACCAGTTCAATTAGTGAGATCCCCCCTTTCTCTATTACATGCTGATTTTATGAAATGTTATTCATCCATAGTAACCCATCTTCAGTGCAAACATAAAAAAAAACATATTTTGCTTCTGCGATCCGAAAAAACGCAGGAACCATTGAACGCGCCGCCGAGTTGAAAGTGGCCCAGAAGGCAGTGATCTATGCCATGGCCCTGGACGAGCCCGGAAGCCGCACGCCCTCGCGCACCTTGGAGCTGGAATGGATGGCCACCGACTCATCCAAGGACCATTTGGAGGGTTTTTGGAGGCTACTATAAGTGTGCCAAGAATCATAAACAGGTGTTATTATATACATAATACATCACAATACTATATATATATATAATTATATAATGATATGTATATATATATATACATACGCATTCAATATGTATATATATAATGGAATATATAGACTGATCTTATAGATGATAGCTTAGTCTATGCCCTCATAACATGGTATTTTGCAAATAATCAGGATATAAGTCATATTTGGGCTATTGATTGAAAAAGCACTTGCTAACACGGATGCTAACCAAAAACCGCCCCTAAAATCTAAATAGGACCCCCCCTCGCAAAGACACTATTAGTAGGAAAATCCTGGCTTTGTTTGGAAGACGATTCTATGAGCTTGGAAATGACCATATTTAAATTCCTTTTTGATGTCAGGGGTATAACTGGTGAAAGGTATGGTTGTAATGATTGATAGTCTTGACTTAGCAATAGATACGATTTGATGATGTTTAGCCATACATGGAGAGAAAATCATACTCAGCTATAGATTCAATCTTTGCAGGTGATCTGAACGTGAGCTGGGGGACTATCCCAATTGTTGTTGCTTATATTCCCATCATGCCACCTATGGGGCAACTTCATGGTTCCCGACTCATAATTGTCCGTGTGGTTTGTGAGCATCATGTCAACATAAACATCGTTTTCACCACGGTAAAACTTGACTCTTCAACTTGTTGGCTGAAAAAACAGCATTTTGTAGAATTGGAAAACTGCTTTTTTTGTGACATCATTTCTTCAACTTGGCTTTGCTGAAGCAATTTCTTTTTTTTCCTCGTCTCAGAAGCATTTGCACGCCTTCACTGTTGTCATTATTGTTGTTGTTGGTCTTCTTATTGCTGGTATTGGCTTGGTATATCTTGGTATCATGGTTCTTAATCCCAAATTGAATTTATTGGTTACAACAAAACCATCCGGATTCCCAAAACATCCACCAAAAGCTCCCAGTGCTTCGCCTTAAGAACTCCCCAAAGCACAACTTGGGGGTGCAGTTCCACTAACCTCAACTGCAAGTAGGTGATATATCTCATGAAATCCCGTGAAATCACCATTTTGTTGGTTATATCGATACCCAAAATGGAATCATATAGGTGATATAATGTTTTATTTCATTCATATATATATATACACATGCATGTATATACATATATATATAATATCCCATAACTCCCGAAAGCAACAGGAGTTCAACCTGGTTCTACCCCCGGCCCCCACGACCACTGGCACCGTGACCACCGCGACCCGCACCTCTGCGACCTCTACGGCTACGTCCTCCACGAGGACGACGTCCACAGCGACGTCGAAGACGGTGACAGGGACGACGTCCACGACACAAACGAGACTAAGATGGGATGAAATGGTCATAGTTTGGCATGATTATTGATGACTTTTGATGATTTTAGATGTTTTTCCAAATGATTTTTCATTCTTGGTTTTTGGAAATACAATATTTTTCAACAATTTCATGTTTTTCCAACCTTGGTTGGAGACAGGTCCACAGTGCATTTAGATGTTTATTTGTAGTTGTCTTACATTTGGTTTTGTTTCGTGGCTTTCCATGTTAAGCACTGCCAAGGAGCACAACAATGACAAGTACATCAATGACAAGTACATCATCAACTGCAACCACGTCAACTGCAACAACATCAACCAAGACTTCTTCAACCCAGACCACGATCACGGCAACGACTACATCGTCGACATCCTCATCGGCGACAAAAACAACATCGACATCGTCAACGATAACAGCGACGACGACATCGTCGACATCGTCTTCTGCGACAAAAACAACTTCAACATCTTCAACCATTACGGCAACAACAACATCGTCAACATCTTCATCAGCAACAAGAACAACTTCAACATCATCAACTGCAACTGTAACGACCTCAACATCGTCCACCGCAACCGCAACGTCAACATCGTCGACATCCTCATCGGCAACAGTAACAACATCAACAGCAACAACATCAACGGCAACTACCTCAACAGCGACCTCTGCAACAACTACATCAACAGAAACTACATCCACAACAACCTCATCAACAACGAATGAAACTGAAAATGTAACCTTTACAACCACAACAGCAGCAACAACATATCAAGCAAGCAACGAGAGCAATGAGACGGCAACAATAACTTCTACAACTGTCACAACAACATTTCTAACAGCGACGACGACTGATGACAGCAGGCGATTGTTTGGAGACAGCAACGCTATCGACAGAGAACTGGGTTCGATGATAGATGACAGCAGGCGATTGTTTGGAAGCAATCCTGTCGACATCAGAGATTTGGGTTCATTGTTGGGACGCTTGGATATGGCAAAGGCAGAATTGATTGTACTGTTTGGCTGTTTGCAAGTGACATCAACTGACCAATCAGGCTTAAAATTGTAAGAGCATCTCTGAAAAGCCGCTCAAACTTACAAGTCACAGAGAAGATCTTCCATCGTTTGAAACATTGGCCGTTTGTGATCTATCATTGATTGAAAATGGATTGAAAATGGTTGGTATATATTTTGGTCACATCTTTGGTCCCTTTGTCCCTTCAACACCCATTTTTGACCAGGTTGTTTGACTTGGTCTTCGAAGTTGGGTGAGCTGAAATCCAGCAATATCAAACATGTTTCATGCTTCAATCATATCAAATGTCAAATCCCCCGTTTCGATCTACGTTTCGTTTTTTGTTGTTTTTGCTTGTTTTCTTCCCATATTTTCCTGGGACCATGGTGACCATGGGCCCCTCTAAAGCATGGCCCATGCCTTCGAGGTGTCGAACTGCTCCAGTTCTTCGCTGAGCTTTTCGTTTCCCTGGAGACCACCAGCAGCACTCCATCTGTGCAGGTCCCGAGCGCCGGGGGCCTAGCGGCTGGGAAACTGGGCTGTTGAAGTTGTTCTTTTGGGGTGCCATGATGTGCCATGACATGTTTTTGACATTGCCAAGACATGTTTTCAATGCGAGGTTTAGCCAGGTATCGACATGTTTTCTTTTTTTGGGGGGATCCAGGATTGGCCATGCTCGTGTCAACTCTTGCCCATGCATATGATAAAGGCCTTGACATTGTGTTCACAAAAAAAACACAAGTCCCTCCACGTTTCACTACTATTTGCTGGGGGGCCACTCTACAAATTCCAAGCAACAGTTGGATCTTCATGTTCGTTGCTTCACACCCCCTTGATTCACTATTTAATTTTCATATTATGGCCTTTTCCGATCTTTTCTGCAAATGAGGGGATGCCTTCAAATGGCCAAAGAATCATATGGAACATCTATAGATCATCAACTTTGGGTCTTTTTCTCTTTTCCCCCTAAATTCTCAGCTCCCCCCACATATTTTCCATGATTTTCCGAGGATCGTGGTGGCCATCGTGCTCAGCACCTGCTGTTTCATCGCTGTGTTGATGGGCATCGCCTTCTTCGTTTGGCACTCCATGCGGAGCTCCGGTGCCGTCATGGACGAGTTCCACCCAGTCGAGGTGGTGCCGCCGATGCCGGCGCCGACACCGGCGCCAGCGCCGCAGCCGCCACAGCCACCAAGAGATGCCACGCAGAAAGCCTTGAAGGAGGCGACCGATGTGGATTTTGGTTGGCTTTTTTGGGGGAAATCCCTGAAGGTTGGATGTTGGGTAAAGCCTCATGATGAAAATATCAAATGGTAAATGATTCGAAGAAGAAAATTCGAAGATTTGGAAGTAGGATTTTGGGTTGGGTTTACAACAATGAGAGTGATGATTATAGGATCCAATTATCATGAGTTACACTGGACTGTTGGTCAAATTCTCCTGCCGGCATGACAGGCCATCGACATGCAAGACATCACCAGGCTTCGTAATTTGCTGTCCGAGATTTTATTGAAAGGCTGGCCAGAGAAGAAGTATACCGATCCTGGGATTTAGCTGGGACTGAGCCTCATTTTGGGATGAAATTATCTGTGAACCTATGTCGGGGTGTATCTCTTTGGGATGCTTTGGGTATACAACCCATTCAACAAAACACATGGGAAACCAATGTGGGTGCGTGTTACCCTCTGGTAAACTAATGTATAGTTATAGAACATGGCGCATTTATAGTTGATTTACCTATAGAGGATTTTCCATTTTACTAGTTGGTTTCGAGGAATCATTCCCAATCGGATCCAATCGGCAACTGGGACCACAGGATCTTCGTTCTCTCGTTGACTGGGACATAGTGGAACCATGCTGGGAAAATCCATCATCTGAGGATTTGGTGCTGAAAGCTCTAGAAGTTGTTGCAACTCTGAAGGAGTCCGCAGCAGAGGTTCTGGAACAGGTGGCCATTGGGGGAGTGGTTGGGAACCGGATTTTGGGCGAGGTCTTGAAGCTCATGACGCAGACAAACAGCGTGTGGAAGAGCCTATTTAGTTTGGGAGTCAGCTTAAGAAATTAATGATTTCAATGATTTCTGTTCATGTCCAACTTCGCGATGCGACATCTTTCTAGTCCAGCTGGGGCGTGGGATGACGTCAGTATCAGGGCATCTGGCTTCCTCTCTTGAGAAAAACCTCCCCGGAGATCTTGGTTTAGCATTGCATGTCAGCATTTGTTGAATCATTTTTTGGGCCATTCTGTTCGAAATTGCATTCTGTTGGAAATTACAGATTGGATGAACACACCCCCAAAAGAATCAAAGAAATGCAAGACATATTTTTTTGTTGTCAAATCCTAATATAATATTTCCCATATCCAAGCACATTGCCATTCAATATCCATTGGCAAACGCCAACTCTGGTTGAATTGGGATGTCCCTAAATATGTTCCCCAAAACATATGCATATTTACCCAGGCAACCAACCAAAACCACTGAGGGCAAAAAAATGGTCTCTTGCCATGGGATGACGCTTCTGCCCTGTTGTACTGTATGATCACCGTTGATCACCAAACATTTCCAAAAACAATCATGGTACATCATCCAAATTGATGCACTGATATTTTGCCACATCCCAAAGAAATCCATCCCCCCAAATCCTCATCCACTGAATTCCCTGTGGATTTCAGTGGATTTCACGGATTCCAGGCACTCTCTGAGGGATCCCTTCCCGGCTCAGCCTTGGCCGACGCCCGCTTCGCCGGCGTCGAGCGCGAGCTGCTGAGCCGGGCCGAAGGCCTGAGGCAGCGGAGCGGCGCCGGTGCCACGGCGGGGACGTTGGGATAAGCGCGGAAGCAAGGCTCCCTGGACCAGTTACATCCAAATCATCCAAATCATCCAAAGATGTTGATGGTGATAGTTACTGACAGTGAGTTCTCAAGAAACTTAAATAGTTTGTATATGTTTGTATGCAAATGCTATAATATGCTATACTCATATTATTACTATATATTACTATATTATTTATGTATGCTATATGTTTTGTCCATAAAACAAATGGTATCTAGCTGTAGTTGGTCAGGGAAGCGCACGAAATTGTGGCAAGGATCATCCATGCGGACCTGTAACCAAGATCTGCGTGGCGCAAAGAGCAGTGGCTGAGTGTTGAATACCTGTGATTGGAACCCCCAAATGGATGCACCATGGATATACATATCAGATTTACTGTGATAAGATAATATGTTGATAATATAAATATTATATAACCACCGTTTGAACATAAATACTAGAAATATCACATGTTAAGTAAATACGATATATAGAGTTACTGTGATGAGATAACAAACCATCGCCAAGTATACCAGAAATTGTTGGTACGAACCATCCACACTGGTGAAGGGTTTGGCCACACAGGCCATTCAAGCACCTTCTGCTCGTCAAGCAGGCACTGGCCGGTGTGTGTTTTGGTCTCGATGCTGAGTGCTTGGATGCGCACCCTACTTAATTACTTGGTATGCGACATCTTTGTTTATATAATCACATTGAAGAACTAAAGAACTATGGTGATAACATGTTGGTATAATCCGCTTATATAAATTCATTGAACAACTATGGTTAATAACATGTTAGTATGAATCACTTAATTTAGGTTGATTTTTAGCTGCTGTAGGTCCCAGCTCTTCATGACTTATCAGCCCATTGACCGGAACGATGTCCCATTTTTCAGGTTTTTCACCATGAGGTCAACTCAAGAACCATCCCGAATTCATGGACACCAATTGAGCATGGTTTTGAAACACAAACAGTAACATTTCGGACATTTCGGTGCAGGTTTTTATTGTCTAAAGTGGACTCACCAGGCCCACATGTGCCACCAGTCATGCCAAGGCTCCATTGATGATAGTTGGGTGATGGATGGTCATGGATTGAAATCAGCAACCATTCTCCAATAATTGGTTCTTGTTCAACTTAACTACCAACTTTGCTTCACTTCATCAGCAGCACCTTCCGTCTTGGGTCCATCTTGAGCTCCGCGACTTTGCTCGGCCATGGGTGGCTCAGCAGAGAGCGAGGAGAACGACAGTCTTCATGATGATTTGGATGACTTTCCTCTTCCTGAGGGTGTTGATGACTTAGAGGATCTTGACAACTCTGAGGCTGAAGCGGAGGCTCCTGACGACCCTGACGACCCTGACGACCCTGAAGATCCTGATGCGGATGAGGCCCATGAAGCTAGTGAAGGCTCCGCTCCCAAGAAGGACATTGAGATTCCAGAGCATCCAACACGCACAGGGGTCAAATGTGCCGAGTATTTCGCCCGAGGTTTGCCACGTGAGGGGCTTGAACCCATCTCGGTGATGCCAGGTCGTTCGCACGCGGTCGCGCGGGATATCGTGAAAATCGTGCAGGACTTCAAGGACGGATGTTACAAAGAAAAGACTTTCCCTTTGGTAAACTAACATAGCTATATATTATTGAAAATCCAAATTTCATCGATGATTTACCCATCAAAACACGTGATTTTCCATAGAAAACTGTTAGTTTACCAGAGGGTATGGCATTTTACACCCTCATGCCTCCATAAATGGTGGCTTATGCTTATATATCCCCATGACATATCCCGTTACCGGACCGGTGTCTCAGCCCCAGAGGAGCAGCTCAGAGGAGTCCAGCTGAAAGTGGGTACTTTTCCCAAATTCCGAGAGATGTACCGCAAGTGGGGCGCGTCTGTGCTGGTGGAGAAAGGCAATCGTGAAGAGCCACGAGATGTTTTCCAGTTTGTTTGCGGGATGTGCTGGCAGTACTTCATAGAACTTGAAGACATGGCTTCCAAAGTCGGAGTCGTGTTCCTAGTTTATTTGTTGTTCCACACTCAATATCACAGCCGCTATGCGATACCTGTCACAATTGACCTGCTACAGCAGCTCACAGTCTTGCGGGACCAGTGTGTTGCACAAGAGATCTTTCTGGAACTTCCGGCAGTTCTTCGAGAAATGGCGCAGAAAGACTTGTTTTCAGTGGGACTTCGTGCCACCTGTCGCAGCCTCTGGTTTGACCGGCACGGCCACTTGATCGAACGCCAGGTGAGTAAAGCCAAGAGCGCACAATCCACCTTGGTGACCATCCAAAGGCCACCTGATCTCACAAACTTGCAAAAAAAGGTGGCTGCATCTTGGGTTTGCCCAGTTACGGTGATTTTTTGTTTGGGGCTTAGGGATGGGGCGAATCCACGCCAAGGGGAACATCTGCCAAGACTGTGTCTTTTTCAGTGTTCGTGAAAAACGTGAAAAACCTGTCATCTCCAAGGAATATGAAGAGATGAATGAGAAGGCTGAGGTGATCCCAAAGTCGGATCCCAGCAGCAGTGACCAGGTGAACTTCATCGCGGCTGCCACCCAGCGATATGTGAACTCCGTGGACCCTGGAGAATTGCCAGAAGGCGGTGCTGTTCCCGTGATTGAGATAGATGAGAACGAGAATGCCAAGAAAAAGACACTGGCCAGGTATTTTTCAGGTTTTTGTTTCATGATTGTCTCATATGTTCTTAATTGTCCATCCATTCCATCCCAAATTTGAAGAATGATCTTCCTGCATAATTACGACATTTGTTGTTGGGCCAACGTATGGCTGGGAGGAACAGACGGATCAAATTTGCACGACGGCGGGTGGTCGAGGACCCCGAGGATAATGATGTCGACGAGACTCCGGCCTGCCAAATCATCATGGCGCAGCGGAAAGAGGTGGTAGCTGGCAAGCCGATGGCCGCTGGTCGAATAGAGGTGGAGATGTTATTTCTTTTTGGAACACACATTATATCCCTCTGAAACATAGGAATCCATCATTGGGAAACTTCTTCAAAATCTTCATCACTGAACTAGAATTAGAAGCACCATTAAAACTCAACTCCAATTGGAACTTTGTATCAACACCATTCAAAACCATTGACAAACTCCAGCCATTAAGACACTTATCAATACTTATCAGACTTATCACAACCATTAAAACTATCAAACAACTCATGCCATATTAAAACTCATTTAAACTCAACTCTTATTGTTTCATTATGATCTATTATGGTCTACATTATGATCCATTAAAACTCACCTCCTATTATTTTCCCAAGGCTTTCGCACCATTTCACCGTGCCAAGGACGTTTGGCGCCGGACCTATGCCACGCCGAATCCGCTGGTGCAGCGCCTGGGCCTTGAGGCGGCGGTGAACGGCGGCACGACGAAGCGCCTGCTGGCCACGGTGGAGCAGACCATTGCACAGGCGGAGACCATTGCACAGGCGGAGACCCTGGCTGACGCCGCTGGGTAGATCTTGATGGTCACGGCCTCGCACGCGCACGTGAGCCAAAAAACGCGTGCGCAGGTGAGGCCCAGACCGATCTGGATTATATCAGCATGGTAACGGTTCGATTCGGTTCGCTTCGGTTCATATTTCCTGTTCATATATATATATAAGATTATGTATCATATAATAATATAATGTTATGTATCATATTATATATATATTATATAGTTTTATACATTTTATATTACATAGAAATTATGTACTTTTATATATATTATATATTATATAAAATATATCATATAAACAATATATAATATATAATATAATATATATATATATTATATATATTATATTATATATATTATATACATCATGCACATTATATATAATATGTACATTGTATATGATATGATATAATATATACATATATAATATATATTATATAATATCATATATATATATATCATATTATACAATATATATATATTATTGTATATTATATATTGTATATATTATTTGTGTATTATATCATATTTATCATATTTATCATATATTGTATTTCCATATTATCATATATTATATTATCATATATTATCATATATTATCATATATTATCATATATTATCATATATTATCATATATTATCATATATTATCATATATTATCATATATTATCATGTATTATCATATATTATCATATATTATCATATATTATCATATATTATCATATATTATCATATATTATCATATATTATCATATATTATATTACACTATATTATATTATATTATATTATATTACATTATATTATAATATGTTATATTATACTATATTATACATATATATATATTAATTTATATTATAATTTATTATATTATATTATGTTATATTATATGATATCTTATTATATATATACACATTTTAGACATCATAATATATATATATATATCGATGTATCAAGATGATTCAAGATTATTGGCGGTTTCCGGAAAAAGCCATGGAATTAGCCATTTGGCAGAAGCTCCAAAGAAATGGATCAGCATGACTTAGTACTGAAAGCCATGGTGACTCGGGGATCCCCCCTTTTCAAGAAACCCCTATATGGCAGGCTTCTTGAAGAGAATGGTATGTTGTTTGGGCTTTGGAGAGTGAAAACCAGACAAAATAGTTAAAATAGTTGTGTTTTTTTTATCCCAACATGGGAACTTCACTGAACCAAAATGGATCATAGATTCCCAGCTGATTCCAGCTGAGGTGGCAGCTAGGTCGCCATTGGAGCACGAGTTGCCCGCGGAAGCCGAAGCTGAATCCGCTCCACCGCTGGCGGAGGCATCAGATGTGAGGCAGAATCTTGATCCATGTGAGCCCCTGTTGGTTGATGATTCGTTGGGGGATGTTGGAGGGGATTATACTAACCAAGTTATTGGGGAATATCACCAATCCATGTTTCTTTTTTTTTCCCGAGAGCGTCTGAGCGCAGGGTTCTTCCAATAGGGGGGGTCTGTATCTCATCTTCTCATCTTCTCACCTTCTCATCTTCACACCTTCTCTCACACCTTCTCATCTTCACATCTTCTTATCTTCACACCTTCTCATCTTCACACCTTCTCATCTTCACATCTGCTCATCTTCACATCTGCTCATCTTCACATCTGCTCATCTGCACATCTTCTCATTCTCATCTTCACACCTTCTCATCTTCACATCTGCTCATCTTCACATCTGCTCATCTTCACATCTGCTCATCTTCACATCTTCTCATCTTCACATCGGCTCATCTTCACATCTTCACACCTTCTCATCTTCATACCTTCTCTCACACCTTCTCATCTTCACACCTTCTCATCTTCACACCTTCTCATCTTCACATCTGCTCATCTTCACATCTGCTCATCTTCACATCTTCTCATTCTCATCTTCACATCTTCTCATCTTCACACCTTCTCATCTTCACATCTGCTCATCTTCACATCTGCTCATCTTCACATCTGCTCATCTTCACATCTTCTCATTCTCATCTTCACACCTTCTCATCTTCACATCTGCTCATCTTCACATCTGCTCATCTTCACATCTGCTCATCTTCACATCTTCTCATCTTCACATCTTCACTTTCTCTCTCTCGCACTCACATCTTCACATACTCACATCTTCTCTCTCTCTCTCTCTCCTCTTTCCTCTCTCCTTTCTCTCTCTCCTTTCTCTCTCCCTTTTCTCTCTCTCGCCTTCTTTATCTTTCTCTCTTTAGGCCGAAGGTGGTGCCGGCGGGGAGTCACGAAACGTCAACCCTTTCGCACGAAATGAAGGTCGATCGTCAAAAACTGAGGAAAAATTGCGATTTTACTTGTGCTGGAGCAACCCTTTCGCACGAAATGAAGGTCGATCGTCAAAAACTGAGGAAAAATTGCGATTTTACTTGTGCCGGAGCAACCCTTTCGCACGAAATGAAGGTCGATCGTCAAAAACTGAGGAAAAATTGCGAGTTTACTTGTCCTGGAGCAACCCTTTCGCACGAAATGAAGGTCGATCGTCAAAAACTGAGGAAAAATTGCGAGTTTACTTGTCCTGGAGCAACCCTTTCGCACGAAATGAAGGTTGATCGTCAAAAACTGTGGAAAAATTGCGATTTTACTTGTGCTGGAGCAATCCCCTCGCACGAAATGAAGGTCGATCGTCAAAAACTGAGGAAAAATTGCGATTTTACTTGTGCCGGAGCAACCCTTTCGCACGAAATGAAGGTCGATCGTCAAAAACTGAAGAAAAATACTTGTCCTGGAGCAACCCTTTCGCACGAAATGAAGGTCGATCGTCAAAAACTGAGGAAAAATTGCGATTTTACTTGTGCTGGAGCAACTCTTCGCACGAAATGAAAGGTCGATCGTCAAAAAACTGAGGAAAAATTGCGATTTTACTTGTGTGTAAAAGCTTCTGTGTGTAAAAGCGTCTGTGTGTAAAAGCGTCTGTGTGTAAAAGCGTCTGTGTGTAAAACGCGTTAATTATCAAAAGCGGTCGTGTGACAAGCGTCTGTGTGACTAAAAGCCTTCTGTGTGTAAAAGTGTTTGTTGTGTCAAACGTCTGTGTGTAAAAGCCTCTGTGTGTAAAAGCGTCTGTGTGTAAAAGCGTCTGTGTGTAAAAGTGTATGTGTGTAAAAGCTTCTGTGTGGAAAAGCGTCTGTGTGTAAAAGCGTCTGTGTGTAAAAGGCTCTGTGTGTAAAAGCGTCTGTGTGTAAAAGCGTCTGTGTGTAAAAGGCTCTGTGTGTAAAAGCGTCTGTGTGTAAAAGTGTCTGTGTGTAAAAGAGCCTATGTGTAACAAGCGTCTGTGTGTAAAAGCGTCTGTGTGTACAAGCGTCTGTGTGTAAAAGCTTCTGTGTGTAAAAGCTTCTGTGGGTAAAAGCGTCTGTGTGTGTAAAAGTCTCTGTGTGTAAAAGTGTTTGTGTGTAAAAGTGTTTGTGTGCAAAATCGTCTGTGTGTAAAAGCGTCTGTGTGTAAAAGTCTCTGTGTGTAAAAGTCTCTGTGTGTAAAAGGCGTCTGTGGGTAAAAGCGTCTGTGTGTAAAAGCGTCTGTGTGTAAAAGCGTCTGTGTGTAAAAGCGTCTGTGTGTAAAAGGCTCTGTGTGTAAAAGCGTCTGTGTGTAAAAGTGTCTGTGTGTAAAAGAGCCTATGTGTAACAAGCGTCTGTGTGTAAAAGCGTCTGTGTGTAAAAGCGTCTGTGTGTAAAAGCGTCTGTGTGTAAAAGCTTCTGTGTGTAAAAGCCCCTGTGTGTAAAAAGCGTCTGTGTGTAAAAGCGTCTGTGTGTAAAAGTGTTTGTGTGTAAAAGCGTCTGTGTGTAAAAGCTTCTGTGTGTAAAAGCGTCTGTGTGTGAAAAAGTCTCTGT